TCCCTCTGCATGAAGCCATGACCTAGTATTCTATACTTAAGGGATAAAAGTTGTCTTTAAAATATGCACGTTCGCAGGCCTAGGCAGTTATATGCCCGTGGCTTTCTAGGTAATATCAAACATGGGATTTCAGAATTCCCATGTCATGATACTGAGTTCCCAGGCTGAGCACCATGTGTGTGTGTATATATGCCCATGAATATGCTGAGGAGAAGATTCTTCCCCAGTGGAAGAAAAAGAGCTTAGAAAAGTTGTTTTGGTGACTCTTTGGTGACATTCTGTGAAATGTCAGTCTAAAGGGAGTCAGTGTGATAATTTCTGCACAACTATCTTTTATAGGTCTGAGATTCTCTTTTCCCAAATGCTTTATTTTACCTCAACTTGCCAAGTTGAGTTTATTATGAGAATGTTTATCCACTCCTCCCAAAGAAAATTGCAGCAGATGAACTCCTGCTATAGAAAGGCTCAGCCTGCTTGTTTGTCAAAGCTAACCCTGAAAGCAAATAAATCCACACAGGGCCATTCAGCAACAGAGACCTACTGTTGTGTCTCCTGTGGCCTCTGACACACATGTATTTCCAGGACACCAGAACAAGACATGTGGGACCAGAATGCTCAGGCTAGACTTCCAGTGTTTGGGGATCATCTGCCTTCACAAGCTGCACCAAACTAATTAGATGAGCTTCACAGTCTACTTAGTTAAATGGTCACAATTTCCCAAATCAGTGCCAAGTGTAACTGATGCTTAAATTGAGTTAAACTAAATTGATAAAAAGCTGCCGAAGTCTTTTCTATATACCACCATTGGGTTGGTTTATTTTTCCAGTACAATCTGACATATTCACCCTTCTTCACTTTTCCCCGGTGTGTTGCATCATTATAAAGGTGCTTAAATTGCTCTTCTCATGCTTTCTAGAAAGAAAATAGGCAATGTCTACATAAAGCACCTTTGTAATGATGCATCTGCATTTGTACATTTGTGCATTTGTGCCAGCTTAATTAATTTAGTTAAAAAAAGCCCACCTTTAACACTTAACAGAAGCACTTCCACAGGAACGATAAATGTATTTTCAAACCTAAATTGGAATATAAAGTAGAATGCATGGAGAAACATCAACTTAACTAAAGGCTTTTTAATGAATGCATTTACCATGCAATTACAGTGGTTCAATTTTGGTGTGTTAACCTGAGCCTCCCACTGATTCTCCAGATAGGGGAGGTACTTGTACAATGAGGGAAACAAATACCCACTTTTGGTAAGCCTCCCACTTTGAGAGCCTCAAACAGTAGGCACTATGCAAGCATAAAGTATGATTATTACTATTTTACTCATTCAACAGTAAGTCACACAACAAAATAGTAGAAGTGCCTTTGAAAATATACATTTCCCAATGAACTGTAGGAAGAAGCTTAAATTACTTTTCTCAAAGAAAGTAGCTCACTGTGAAACCAGCTGTTCTGAGTATGAGCCAGCAGCCTCAGCAGGCTCTTCCTAGAATCAAACCCACCAGCACCTTTCTAAATTTGTCATTAAAAATGTTGATCATCCTGGTAGAAGTCCCTTAGGTATTTGCCAAGCAGTGCTTAATACAAGAAAGGGGAAAAAAAGAAAAAAATGCACAAGAAAAAGATCTCTTTTCACTGCAATTACTTTGAAGAGAGGAGGGAAGTCATTCTTCATTATTTCAGTTACTAATCCCATCAGGTTTGTATCATTATCTGATGAAAATGTCCTTTTTCATTGTCTGAAGGCATAGTCAAGAGGGAGCAGTGTGACAGCTGACTTTCTATAGGAAAAGCCTGTGCTCTTTCGCTGGGATCCTGGCAACAGGCCTGCATTCTCTCCATTACCTCCTGCTCATTGCTGCAAGCCTTCCCCTTACCACTACCACTGCAATGCCCACTCCCTTTTGGAAGAGTGACAAAGGAGTGCTTAAAACTAATTTTTTTCTAAAAAGTCCTGCCAAAATTGCAAGTGTCAGTCTGTAGTTGCCATGTTTGAGGGATCTTCAACAGGTATGCTTAATTTACAAGTGAAGATGGAGCTGATGTCTGAAGCCAGCAAGTGTCTGGGGTTGCCAGCTTGGAAACCCAAGGTAAGGTCTCTGCTAGCTTCAACCAGGGGAGTCTGCTCACATTCTGTGAGCAAACAGGGTTGTATATGCCTCAGCATAGCTTGTGTAGTGCCATCACCCCGACAAGGACTTGCGCGAGTGGCCACCTATCGATTTACAGCCGGATGGATCAACTGGGACTCCTGGCTCTCAACAAAAAATTGATGTGCCTATGACTCAGACATATGGCATCTCACTTAGCAGCCCATAACCTTTCCACCTCTGCCATACTTTCCTTCTGTGTAAAAACCACGTATTTCGGGCTGACAGTGTGTCCTTGCAGACACTTGTACAAGCCAGGCTGTTTGCATGGAAGCAGCTGGATGGAGTTGGGTGCTTGGTTCAACTTGCAGCAGACGTAGAAGAATAAAATCAAGATCACTTTACATGTTAATTTGTGAGGCTAATAAACGCAGCAAGCAGAATCCTTACCTCTTCCTTCTGTTTCAACAGATGCATCAGTAAATTTATGCACAAAACATTTCTGTGGAAGAAATTGGTGTCGCTCTTATGTAGCTGCAAGGATGCTTTCCATAGTTATCAGTAAGAAAATCTGTGCAAACCTGTAAGACACAAATATGTATTTGTGACAAACAGGGTCTATGGAGAGGTTGCGGTGAGGTAGATTTCTTTTAGAATATTTGAGGACCACAGTTGTTTACTTTGCTGAAAAAACTTGAATTTGAATTTCCGTTTTCCTGTGAGGAAAGAATGCTTTCAATAACATCACAGCTAATCCAGGTGGTGCCATCTTTTGTGCCTGTCGAGTTTCAGTTGCTGGATCACTTCAGACATGGCAGGAATGACACACAACCTTGCAAATGTTGATGCACAACACAAAACTTACTATCTGAAATGCAAAGGAGAGAAGAATAACCTCTCCTTTTCAGCTCTGCACAGGTGAGCTGAAGCTCCATGGGTGATGCAGAGCCAGAGGACATGTGCTGCCCCATGCCAGCTTCCCCATGAACATGCTGGGGCACATGAAGTGCAGGGAGATATCCTCAACTTTTCCAGTGGATTTGAGTATGACGCAAAAAGATATTCAGAGCCTAAATTCCACTTTGTCCTTGTGCCTTATATTTCCCGCTGCGTGTCTCTTGGTCTCCAGAGACATCTTACCAAAGGAAATATTGAGCATAAGTCTATAGCTGAAATTTCATCTGGGGAGCAAGTGGGGAGTAATTAATAATGAATAATGTAAATTCATGCCCAGACTTGCTGAGCACTCACTCAAGCCCTCAGAAGTTACTCACCTGACTTTTTATGGCCAATACCTCAAGTACACCAGTAGTAAGTAAAGAGCAGTTATTAATGAAAGATTGTGTATGCGTGTTGAGAGTACACATAGGTGAACTTGCCTCAAAGAATCAAAGAAATTAATGTGAAGACTTCATATTCCTAAAAGCAATTGTAAGGCTGGAATCCTTACTGTGAAATAAAGTTTTAAATAGATATTACAGGCAATATATTCTGTCCCATGATACCTCAATAAAAAAACCACCATCAAAAACCAGCTGTTTTGCTCTGGTATTTCCGTGAAGGTAGCGTTTATGTGATAATTAATGTCTGGAAACTTTGAAGGGAGGTATGTCCATACCTGCAATTGGGATAGACTATGTCTTCATTAGCAAAAAATGCAGCCAAGCAACAAGAGATATGTAGAGCACAACAGATGCTGAGCACCCAAGCTCAGTGGCTGTGGGAGCTGGGGATTGTTACTCCAGTCTGCCTTTAATGTGGTCCTGTGTGCTAGGCACACACCAGGAGTGCGTTTTCCAGTTTTGTTTCACCTGCAGGGAGTCCCCAGCTGTGTGAGCTCCTTGCAAGCATGATCCAAGGGGAAGGGGTGAAATTCCCTTTAAAAGAACAGAAGGGGAGATAATGGAGGAGAGGTACCTTCTGTCTTACACCGACTCTAATCCCATCCCAGACAGTGACTCCCTTGCTTAGTTTGGATTTGTCCTTTACCTTTCCAGCAGCATGGGACTAGGAGCATTTCACTTGTTTCCCATATGGATGGAAAGAAGCTGCGAGATGCTTAGTGAGTTCACAGGACTCATATGCGAACTAACAACCTGCTGTGCTGTGAGGGCTGCAGGAAGAAAAGAAACAATAGACAAAAGAAATGATATCTCTTATTTATCCATTCAGAAATACATCTGTAAATTATGTTATGATTTTGTCAATATATGGTGCTAGCAAAGACTTCAAATAAGTAATGTTCCGACCTCAGGGGCCTTATTGATTTTGTAATAATTTCAAAGAAAAGCCACTCAGTTTACCGTTTGCTGACAAATTCTTTGCTCCCTAAGGAATTCCTATTGAACATGTGTTAAAGACAGGATAAAGTAATTTTAAGGAAATGCAGAGAGATAGCTTTGTGCATAGACTCTGCTCAGCAAATGGGTATTTAACCTCTGACCGGTGACAACAGGTCTCCTTTAGCTCTATTAGATCAACAGCAAGCTATTATAATTAAATATAAAAACTGTTTAGAGCCTCACCGAGCATGTCCTGGGAATTAAAGCATATGGCAGGGATAGGGATAAAAAGACTTTCCATATGCTAATGACCCTTGATGTCTGAAATATATTAGATCCATTAGAGTTTATGCTCAATAAAAGGAAGACTTTAAGCACTCCAAAGTTAGTGACTCGAGACTGATTTTGGCTTAGAAATTCAATCTGCCTGCTTATTAATTCTTAGTAAGGCTCTGGAGGAGAGAGGGGATGCAAAATCATAATTCTGTGCTGTATCAGAATTTTAAAGTGCCATCAGTTTCTTTTCCTTTTTTTTTTTAATTAAACTATTTTTCATGGTTCACTTTTTTGTTCTCCTCATTTGATTTTCTTCCCATTTTTGTTTAATTTCTTTCTTTTTAAGGTTTCATTTATCCTATTTCAACTGAACAGAGAACCCAGAATGAATATGGATTTTCTTGTAAGTTTACTGTTTGATTTTATGTTCCTGGATGCTGATTTGATGCTGTTCCTTGAGTCAAGCTTTACTGTTAGGCCAGCTCTGTGTAACTCGGCAAAGAGGGGCCTATTCAGCAGAGTAAGTGACATGCTGCTTGCTTGACAGCAGTCACAGTATTTTGCTGTCTGCAGGTTGGCACAGAATGATAAGGACATGAGGGAAATGGGAGAAGATGCTGCCTCAGAGACTGAAACTGTAGAGAATGAACCATCTTCTCATTAAAATTTCCTTAGCAAATGGAAGAAATGTGGTGGAAGGGTAACTTTTCTTTGAACCAGAACTTAGATATCTGCTTCCTGAACTGCTGGGTTAAAAATGGGATGCTTCAAATTTGGTAAATTGGAGGTCTGATAGCCAGGAGCTTACAGAGATTGATCACTCCCTTTCTACATCTGCCAGCTCTCACCTTTTCATCTGGAGGGCAACTTGGCTTAAATGGCTAGAAGAAATAAAATAAAAGTGATTTCACATGTTTCAAACTAACAAAAATGGGGTACTAAAAAGTCTGATTTGTTTTTGCACTTCGTTTTTTCATTAGGCTATTTCTAAAACTGGGATTCTTCACTGTGTAGAAACACATCAAATTTTGATCACATATTCAGACCTTTTAGAAAAAAATGTCTGGTGGATAATGATGCTAGAGATTAGCTTGGAATTGGTGCTGATGGTACGGTATAAGCAGCTAGTAGAAATATCATAGCCATTTTCTCACAAGACAGGTCAAATAAATCTGGGTTCCTTTTGGTAAATTACCACATTCTTTCTTTTGCCTGCTTCTGCTTTTATCCGAATATGTATGTGTTAATGCTGATGATGAGAATTCAGTGTTTGATTCTCTGCTTTACTAGTCTATTTTTTTAAAGGCAAATGACCTTTAAAATTACAATTAAATGACAAATTACAATTAAAAAAAAACAAACTCAAAGATAGTGATATTACAGGTATTCCATAGGAAATGGAAATTTTGGGTTCTTTTATTTTTTTAAAGTAAAATATAAAGCTTCTGAAGTCTAAAAATGCACAATATGGTTTGTTATCAGATAAACTTCTAAATACCAGTATTATGACACTATGTCACTAAGACATACCATCTTACTTCATAGGGTGAATTTGGTTCATGAGACTAAGTCTGTAACATGTGTTGTGCTGAGTAGTTCACACCCTGAGTACTAGACAGATGAACAAGTAGATAGGGAAAGAGTTAGAACACAGGTTAGAGAGAAATCAAAGATTGTTTTCCACCGAAAGAGCATACACCTGTTATATGATCTTGGAAATGGATTTTAAATTATCCTCTAAAAAAGGTAGTAAATATCTGCAGGAAACAAGAGTAATAAAACTGTGTTTTCTTGAAAGTCCTTGTGAGGAGCACACATTTCATCAAGGTTCCTGACCTCTCTCCCTCTAGCTGCTCCTGACTCGGATGATGTTGCTCTCTACGTCGGGATCGTCATAGCCGTGATCGTGTGCCTGGCTATTTCCGTGGCTGTGGCCCTGTTTGTCTATCGCAAGAACCATCGTGACTTTGAGTCAGATATCATTGACTCCTCAGCTCTAAATGGGGGATTTCAGCCTGTTAACATCAAGGCTGCAAGGCAAGGTTAGTTTTCATTTCACTGCATTTTGACCAATTCAGGGAGGTACTATAAGGTTGTGTTCTCTTGGGCTGCATGAATGATACTCACTGGATGCTTGTTGACACTTGATAAAAGGGAGAAAGATCCATATTCATTTGTTTCTGATAGTCAAGTGCTCAAAACCCCTGTTGGCATTTTTCAGATGTGTTCAAGAGTATAAAGCAGGGATATTTAACTTCTGAAGAGAGAAATGAATGTGAGAGTGAAACACAGAAACATTTATGGGAATGGAGGTCCAGCTCAAATTTAAATCAAAGGCAAAGCTCTGATAGAAACAAGAGTGATAATACAGTAATTGTAGCACATCTTCCTCCCCTTTATTTCTCTAATAGCCTTTTTTCCTGTGCTCTGTTTCCACAGGTATAAGTAGTAGTTTGAGAAGGACTGTGCATTTCAATAGACAATGTAGAAAAAGTTGTGGTAGAACATCATTTAATAATGAGCATTTTTATCACTGATGCATAACAGCTTTATTATTTCCACACTTCACTGGCCATAAAAAAACACTCGAAAGGTAGTGCTGCCTTTTTCAAGACCCGTATTTAGTCTGAAGAGTTCCTCTTTTTTGCCCATATCTGCTCCAGAAGAATAAATCAAAGTAAGAGTTAAGATGACAAGAGAGTTGTCATGTGGAAGATTAGCAGAAGTGTTGTTTTCTTTGCTGGAGAAACTTTTAATATGAATCTCAAAAAAAATGTAATGCAGGTACTAATCCCTCACTGCAGTGAGTTGTGGACATGATGGCTTCGTAGGCCTGTTGTGTCTTTTATTTCAGGAATGCTGTCATTAGACCAGTTAGATAAAATGTTACATAGCATTTAGGAAGGGTATATTAGTTAAAAACTAGATCTACTAGATGAGGAAAACATCTTGCCCTGATGCTAAGCATGTCGTATTTGAAATCTTAGTACGCCCTGGAAAAATAATCCCAGTGAAAAATCTTCATAGCAGAAACATGCTGTAATTTTGTATGACAATTGGATTCCATAGCAGCTATGGCAATACAACCCCTGGGAGTTTGCTGGAAGGATGCATGGAAATGGAGATGCAGGTCAGGGACTTTGAGTATCTGAACCTTTGGAATAAAAGGCAAAATGCAGAATGCAAACCCAAATTGTTCCTCAGAACAGTGTCATCAGAATAGAAGTAATATGGTTCTTCCTTCTCATTTCCTTTGCAGACCTCCTGGCAGTGCCACCAGACCTCACTTCTGCTGCAGCCATGTACAGGGGTCCTGTTTACGCCTTGCATGATGTCTCTGATAAAATCCCAATGACCAATTCTCCAATCCTGGACCCGCTCCCTAACTTGAAGATCAAGGTTTATAATACCTCTGGTGCAGTCACTCCCCAGGATGACCTTTCTGACTTCTCCTCCAAGCTGTCCCCACAGATTACACAGTCTCTTCTGGAGAATGAGACCCTGAATATGAAGAACCAGAGCCTTGCTCGGCAAACTGACCCATCGTGCACTGCATTTGGGACCTTCAACTCCTTAGGAGGTCACCTAGTAATTCCCAATTCAGGTAAGTGCTAGCCATGTTGGCTTAAAGGTACAGTTGTTCTGTGGGTTTAAGTGGAGTTAGCATGATGATTTTTTATGTGTGAGACAAAAGTCCACACCTGGGACTCTGCCTTTTCTTTGATCAAAACAACCCGATGGTGCTTTTTTCCCCTTCTTTTGCTTCTACCAAAGGGCTTCAAATATTTTCTACCCAAAGTCCTGACCACCTTTTAAACACTATAGGCTTGAGGAAGAGTGGCTGTAGAGCTGCCTAGCGGAAAAGAACCTGGGTGTGCTGGTCGACAGTCAGCTAAACATGAACCAGCAGTGTGCCCAGGTGGCCAAGAAGGCCAATGGCATCCTGGCTTGGATCAGAAATAGTGGGCCCAGCAGGACTAGGGAAGTGATCATTCCGTTGTACCACAAAGACCACAGCTCAAATACTGTGTTCAGTTTTGGGCCCCTCACTACAAGAGCACAAGTCTTGGGAGTAGCAGCTGAGGCAGCTGGGGTTGTTTAGCCTGGAAAAAAGGAGACTGAGAGGGGACCTTATCACTTTCTATAACCACCTGAAAGGAGGCTGTAACAAGATGGGAGTCAGTCTCTTCTCCCAAGTAACAGTTAAGGACATGATCTAGTGGTGAACGTGGTGTTGCTAGGTTAATGGTTGGACTTGATGATCTTAGAGGTCTTTTCCAACCTAAATCATTCTGTGATTCTAAACAGGGCTCTTAGCTACTTTCTGAGACATGCAAGGCCTCAGACCTTCATTGTGTGAAATGAAATTCAGCATCACCTTTTCCTTTCCTGCAGTCCTAGAAAAGGGACCTCAATACAGTAAGCCTCTATTTTGCCATCACACATGAAAAAGGACAAAATAATTTAAAAACAAGTCAGTTGTTCCACTTCCAATTCATTGAAGACTATGTGTAATTGACAGCAGAATACTATTTTTGGAAGTAGTAGGCTTTTTACCTGCACACATTATATACCCAAGGAAAATAAAACCCAAGAGTGTCTTTTCCATATTTCTCTCCTTGTTGTATGTATTGTTGACTTCCTTTACAACTAGGAAATGGAGAGACTGAGCATTGAGGGCCTGTTAATGTAATTGCAAAGCGCTGCTCAGTCTTTGTCAAATGGAATGAAGCTGGGCTTCTGGGCCCCTTCAGACCACCTTGGCACTGGTAAGCAGTTTCAGAGCATCCAGGGAGCTGTTGGGCAGCCTTGGGAGAGCTCAACTCTTGCAGACAGATCTTTTTAACCAGAGCCACAATGCTGTTTTGTTCCTAAATGAAGCATTGATGTTCAAAGGAAGTTCAGCACCTGGATGTTCCAGTGGGTTTAGTATGATACCAAAGAGCAGCATTAACATTTGAAGTGAGGATAAGTCACATGCATACAGTGTTGGGTGGGGGGATATGCAGGCAGCACAGCAGTCAGGAATACCCCTGCCCAATTTCTCTGAATTCAGGTAGGACCACAGCACACGTGAGACCACAGCTCACAGCTTGACCATTTTACGGCAAGTACCCTGAGCAAGGAGATAGTGCCTTGTCTCCTGCTCCTTTGCTGGATCATTTCTTATTTGTTGATGTAATGGAGAAAGCAAAATGCCTAGGTGGCCGAGGACCTAGGTGGTTTTGTTCTTCCAGGATGCAGTCACACATAGCCCAAGAAGCAGTCAAAAGTAGTTGGAGCCATGGCCCTCCTCTCTGAGCTACTGTGGAATAGCAGGAAAAAATATCTCTTAAATTTAGGTGAAAGCTGAACTACTTCAATAAATCTGGTGCTGACTGCTGAGCAATGTTGAAAATTTGTGCTATACAGTCTTGGATTTCACATTTTTCTAAGTAGCAGCTGAAGGTTGATATTAATACTCAGGTTTCTTATGCCATGGTGGTGCACATTATCAGCAAAGTCTATTAGACACATTTAATTCACATATATTAATATCAATTTGTGAACAAAAAATGTTCAATGCTGTAATCCCTTCAAAATGATTAAAGTTATGATTTTGTAAAATAAAACAATCCATCTACTGCTACCATGTATGCCTCTGTGCCGCTTCTAGATGTACGTATATCCTCCTTGTGGCGTGATCAAAGCCCTTCACTTGCACTACGCCTACACTGTTATAACTACGAACGTGCACAGATTAGGTTGTAACAGGCCTGTAAACAAACAAATACCAGAAGACATTTGTGGAAACTGTTTTCCTAGCTAATCCCTCCCCTTCAAAACCAGGTATGGGACTGAGCACCTGTACACCAACACGTGGGAGGTCTTCAGCATAACCAAACCACGTATGCTGAAGAAAAGAGACAGGGCTGTGCAAGGGGTCTATAAAGACTCTCCTGTGTAAATATGTATAAATAATCTGCCCGTAGATTTGTTTTCAGCTATGTAGTAATAACTGTATTCAAATCCTTGCCGCTGATGTCCAGCTAATCCACATCTGCAAAGACAGCAGGCTGAGATGTGTCCAGAAGAGTGAAATAGCTGGTTGGTGGGCTATGTTTGTTGTGTAGTGACAAGACATTTCTGCAATGGTAGTAATGTAAGAGCAGTGTTTTTTAATCAAGTGTGCAGCAAATCATTACTGAAAAGGGCAATGAGCGTATTTGCCCACATTTTTTTCAAGGCCGGATACCCCAGTTTTGAGCCACTTTACGGGACTAGGCACATTAACAGTGCCAAGAAATCCAGTTTTGTCTCCAAGGTACTCTTGGAGCTGAGCACAGTAAAAGACAGGATGCTAGGCACAAGAAGCCATCTTTCAGGAAACAACTAGTTCTTGTTGTTTCCTGGGACAGTACTCCACTGCTTTTCTTTCCTGATTTTAATTAAGTAAGAATTGCCTAGGGAGAGATGTCTGTCCCATTACAGCTGTTGGAAATTTTAGTCAGAGTTGTTTGTTTTTCCATCACTTTACAAGGTAAGCAACAGCGTAGCCATCTGTCTGCTCTTTAAATAAAATAAAAGGGAAGAAAATCCTCTTCTCCACTCCTTTGTTTCCATGCGGATGCAAAGGGGAGTGAGAACAGGCAGCTGGATGCTGGAGACACCAGGGTTACAGTAGATACTTTTTCTCCCAAGTTGCTGAAATCATTTAGAGTCTGCTGGTTAGGTTGGCTGAAAATCTGGCATTTCAGGCTTCATCTTCTACCTCTCCTGTCACTCCTCTTCACAGACCCACTTGCCCTTTTTTCTCCATTTTTACCTTTGTGTCTCTTCTGTTCTGCAGGAGTAAGCTTGCTGATCCCAGCAGGGGCCGTTCCACAAGGGAGAGTCTATGAAATGTATCTGACAGTTCACAGAAAGGAGAACATGAGGTAAAAAACTGCCTTTATTTTCTTGTGCATTAACAGAAGGGGAAAATGTAGTAACTAAAGACCTGCAGTAACTAAAGACCATATGCTTATGCAAAGCCTACTGCGTTGAAGCTGTTTGCTGACTTGGAGTTAAATGCAAGCAAAGCCAAGGATAAACTTTGCCATGAAACCAGCTCAGACTTTTGCTTTTATAACCGAGAGTTGTACTCTGCAGCAAGCCCTCAGTCTGGGGGGATGCTGAATCACAGTGGAGAGGAAAATGTGCCAGCATGAGTTTGGTGCAGCAGAAAAGGTGTGAGGTAACCTCTTGATAAAGACCAGTGCTGCAAAGGAGAAGGGAGCAGTGGAGCAAGGTGACAAATCAGCTCAGCAAAGGGGACAGGTGCCTAAGCACCTGACTTGGAAAATCTCCTCTCCTATTAGAGTGAAGGTGAATTTTTATTTTACCCTTCATGGGCTTGGCTAGTCATGCAGTGAGGAGATGGAGCCAAAGGTTTTGGTGTCCTCCACCTCCTTGCTGCTTAGCCCCAGACAACGCACACCAAGGGCCACCCAGAGCCAATGCTGGGATGACCCCTGTTGTTGTCACCTGTTATCTGCATGTGTAGCCAGTTCATATTCTAGATCTTAATATCTCCTGCATGATCTGGCAGCCCTGACATAAAAAAAAAAAGACTTGTAATAAAAAGGCCAAAATACCATCTGAAGCCATTTAGAAAACCCTAATGAAGAGAAAGGTGAGATCTTAGGCTGCAGAATGGACTCCTGCACAAAGGCTGAATGGCAAATGTGAAACTAAGGCTGTCATTACACGGTACTTTGCCTCTTTCTCTTCCTCATAGCTAGATATGTTTTTTGGCTCAGCCTCTTAATAGCTTTTATTATGTGCTAAGCCGCAGCTGTTTATACAGTGTGTGATATTGAACACTATTCTTTAGCTTGGTAGTCTTTCACTCAAGCTAAAATAATCTGCTTAAAGAAAAATTAAGCAATCCTCCCACCCACCCTTTTGCATACATTATTCATCGCGTGCTCTTTGAAAATAGCTAATTGCAGCTACAGAAAAATGTCTCTGTTCAGAGCTAGTATTGATTCTATTCCTATTACTTTTGGCTGTGTTTTAAAGACATTGACAAGCAGTATTGAAAAAGACTCTTTTCTGAAGAAGGAAAAAAAAATTAAAATCAGATGGCATCCCCTGTTATTCAACTTGCCTCTAAATTTCCCTTTCTAAAATACCCAATTCTTAAAAAACAAAAACACAAACAAAATTTTTAAAAAATATTTCATTCCTATAAGGAGCTATATGTGCAATTATTTCCTTTCTAGCCAGTTATGGAGGGAATCCCTGTTTCCTTATTCATGCAGCTGTGGACAACTAATGTCACATGCTAGTCTAATTTATTTTCCTCAAGGATCATAAAGCCTTCTCTGCATGCTTTGTGATAGCTGTTACTCAGCAAGTCACACAGGGAATAGAAGGATAGGTTAACCTGTATTGGGAAAAGCATGGTTGGAGAGGTTCTGCCTGCCAAACTGAGCAAGTATGCCAAAGTACACCTGCAGAAGTGAACAAAAAGGTGTGAGTCCTCACTTACAATGAAGACTTTAGAAGTGGTTTCTTTCCCAAGGAGAGGAGAGCAGAGAGCAGGCTGCCTTGGCCGTGGGGCAGCAGGGCCTCATCATGTTGTGGTGGTATCACTTTCTGGGTGCACCGACTCCAGCTGCTTATTTGGTTTGTGGCAGTTTTTTAGCTGCCCACAAGCATACCAAGCTTTTCCTACTCTTGGAACCGGCTTTTTCTAGGACACGTAAAATGGAGCTCATCAGGTGTTGTCTAGATCACTCAGAATGGAATATTCACTAAAAAGGGCTTAAACGTGACAGAACTGTAGCATCTTCCCATGTTACCTGCTCCTTTTTCCCAGGTGCCAAGGAGCAGGAATGGGTGGGTGGCACCCAGCTGTATCTGTCTCCTGCTGCAGGACCTGTTACTAAATGCTTTACTTGATGTAGCAGAGCTGCAGCTCAGTCAAAGCTGCTTTTTCTGACTACATGGGCCACAGATGTTGCTTCATATAATTGGAGTCATATGGGTACCACAAGTTACTGTGTGGTATAATTATTTTTTAAATCTGCTACTGCAGTCTTACACTGCTCTAGCAGAGAGTGATAGTCCCCAATAAGGACTAGCTGCAGACATTCGCTTTTGTGGCCAAGCGGTAACAGCAGTGTGTTCAACAAACCCTGTGAGACCCTGTATTTATTTTCATGAGCACACTGTAAATGTGTACAGGTTGAAAAGTCCTGTTATGTGTTGATGTAGTTTGGGAGGGGACACATAGGAAATTATAAAATGGGTGTTATAATCAGAAGTAAAGGCAGGGTCTTGTTTTTGATATTACAGCTACCACTGAGGTGAGAATGTGGTCTCCATAGCACTACCATGGTGAAACCAATGCAGAGAGGTTCCCCATCACAGATCATGGATTTCCAGCAACTTAAGATTTAGCTTACACAACTACTTCTGAACAGTCAAGCTGAAACAGAAAATCTGTTATCTCTCAGACTCCTGCAAATTCCCCCTTCTCTTTTCCTTCCTTTGTTTTCTTAATATATTTCCCCAGTCTCTGAAAGGTATAGTACAGAAATTTGAGAGACTTCAAGATCCAGTAATGTCACTCTTTTTGTTGCCTTGTGAATTAGTTAGGAGAGCTTTCTGAGACACTCTATTTATTCCATTTCATATTCATCAAAGCATGTGAGCACTGTAAAAGCATTATCCTTCTGCAGTGAATTGGAGTTCTGGTAGCTTGCAGTAAACACCACTTGGAGGCAGTTGTTTTCTCTAAGTGTGTTAGCATACTTGTGGCACAGTGGGCTTTCTTTTTTACTAGACTGATACTCCAGGAAGTTGTTATTCCTGCTTCTGTCCTGCAAGCTCACCCTCATTCTACCTGTTGTTTGGGGCAGGATGGATGACAAGCAGCTACTGGGCTCCAATCCCTGGCTGGTGTGTTGACCTCATGAAATGATCCATGTGTTTTATGAAGTGGCTACAGTAGGGAAAAGGATATCTATGTATATATGGGTGTTTGTACACATATATGTATATGTGTGTGTTTATATATATATGTGTATGTAACTGAAAAAATGACAAGCCCATGAGAATATTTCACAGCTATCAGACAGGTTTCTGTCTAGAAGCTCTGTGGCTTTTTCAGTGGTGATCAGATGCTTGCTTCCTTAGTCTGGGGAAGTGTGACCAACTTTGAGATTTGCAAGAAGGGGTTCCTGTTTGAGCCGTGGTTTCATCTGTAAAATAAGCACATTGTGGTGACCGGTACCTGGTAAGAGCCTGTTCCCGTGAGCATCTGTAAGAGCCTAGGTCTTACATGACTAAGGGTTAAATAGCATGAGTGTAAACCTCCAACCTCCAATATTTTCTTTACTGCCTCAGGTTAAAAAACAAATGTAGCTGTGAGCTAAATTAGTGGAGCTGTGTGCTTCCTTCAGAAACATCTGGCAGTGGTCAGTGCTAGATGGGGTCTGGCTCTTGATGGACCACTGGTTTTATCTTATATGGCAGTTCCTGTGTTCCTGTGTGAACCCCTGCCGAGCTTGCACAGCTTTAGGTGGAGCTGCTCTTGCATACTCTAATCACAGGCAAGAACTGCACTAAACAGATACAACACTGTGAAGGACACTTCTGTATAATCCATCACACAGGAGGTGTTGCAAATGAGAGTGGATGTCGCTGTGCCCACAAAATGTGACAACCTTGAAGAACAGAGCAAGCAGCACTCCTGAAGATCTTGATGGAAGACATACATAAATGTGCAAATTCCAAATTAGCTACCTAAAAAGAGAGAAGGGTCAGGTGAGCCTTGCCAGGATTTGTATCAATGGCTTTATAGCATAGACATAGAGTGTACATTAAAGTCAAGCAGCTGATCAGTGAGTTTGATCCAAGGAGCAATGTTGCCTTTTTCGCCAGTAAACTTTAAGCTTAGTGATGTAAAATAAAAGAAATTGAAATCTTCCACATCTCGTTTCTTCGCCTTCCTTCTGTATCTCAGTTGCATAAACAAAATTACTTTGCAGCTCCAGAAGACAATTTCATGAACTGCCAGTCTCTATAATAGAAAAATTCAACGTAAAAAAGATCAGCGCATGAGCAAAAAGGGAGAGAAAACTTTTCAGATTATTTTCCTTCTAAAGTTAGGCTGGCAAAAGAACTAGGGTCAGTAGAGAATATTAAGTTTGAAACTTAAAAAGGAACACATATTAAAAAATAAAGCCCCAGCAATGAAAGGAGAAATAAAATATCTTCCCTCTAACTTCTGGCTAAGCTGTGTAGAAGAGTTGCCATCTGTTGCTACAAGGTAGCCATTCCTCTCTCCCTGCTCCATCTCGTGCTTCCTGAGCTGCTGTGATAGCCTGTGGCATGTACACATGGTGGTAGGGAGAACAATATAGTCCCACTGAGCAGCAGAGATTTATCTAGTTGTGCTTACATCTGCTGTCTGACAGCTACCTTAATGAATATGGTCTGGCTTATTACAGGGAGACAGTTTTGAATGTGTAATCCCATTAAAGACACAAATTTGATTGTGAAGGGACCAGATATAGTGAATAAAAGTTTGTTTGCTTTTAAATATAAGTTGACTGTTCTTGATAAGCTGTGAGGCATGGGAAAACATCTTAAAATATCTGAAGACTTTCCAGTTACTGTTAGGGCCTTCTAATAAAAATGCTAAGCAGTGAATTGAATTTTAGTCTCAGGTCTTTGTAAAACAAAAACATCTCTTTGACATACAGCTTATATCATGGTCATACACCATGTCTTTGGAGTCGTGCAGCTGAAAGTGCAAGTCTCCTCTAATAAATTGTCCCAAGATTGCTGCAAGCCTAAAGCGAAGCACATATGGGTGGGGGTTTGGGAGCATTTGGGTTTAGGGTTCTTTTTTGGATAACAGCCTAAAAGTAGGTTCTGGCCCTCAGTTTTCAAGATGTCTATTTGTAGATCTTTCTGGTTTAGAGGAGCTAACTCCCTTGCTCTATGTGCTCCCCTGTGTCTCTGTGCTGGATCTCCTGCGATCTGTAGCACATAAATCACAATGTTGGATCACAACAGGCACTCCTCTAGGCTGGGATCCTGGCTTTGCTGGTGCTGCATCTCCTGCTTCAAGAAAAGGAAGAAAATTGCCCATAATGAGTGACTACACAATAACTTGTCTTCAGGGGAATTTGTTGTTTACTAATTCCATCAATTAGTGTTGGGTTCATGCTTTGAAGCAAAAAGATTGATATCTCTTGTATAATATATCTTGTCTACTGCATCTGTTTCTGTTCTCATTAGCTATAGTAAGGCATAATCCTTTTGTTTTAAAATGGAAATTGAAAACAGTGAGAAGTGAGAAAAAAATCTATCAAGAGATTTTCGTTTATTTGCCCTGTGAGTTGTCACAGAGCATCTCTCTCCTCTATGGGTGCCATTGGGTTGTTTAGCCTCATTCCCCTGAATTTCAGGTGTTTATTTCTGAGATCTTGTTGCAATTTCTAAACACCCTGCTACCTGCAGTCATGTTAGAGCTGGATAGGAAAGGGAATATCACTGTGGTGTGCTCTGACATGCATTGTCCCATACAGCACCAGAAATCAGATTTGCTTTTTACCACTGTATCACATTACAAGTTGATGCCTGCTGCGTTGCAGCAAGATCACCTGAAATCTTGTTCAGTTTTATTTCTTTCTTTGCTACCAAATAACTCTTTGGAATTTGTTTTGCTCTAGCGTGAGCTGCTGTACAATTAATAGGATTTTATTTCCTTCTCATATTTTTACCCTCTCTGGAACTTTTGCATTATTTTCTGGCTCCCACTGTTACTTGCAATGATTCCTTATTAATTGTTACCTGTAAATGTAATGATCATGTTGCTATTTGCATTGTTTTCCACATTGTGAGTAGAAATCCTTACCTCACAGTAGTTGGAGAGAGGTTTAGCATGGACTTAAATAGAGCTGGGATTTCATCTAAACAGTGTCACTGACCCATTTCACAGCACTCGAGAACTTCTCTGCAACTCATTACATCTCAATTTTTAAAGGTTTATCTGTATGAGGTGGATGGTGGAGAGTCATTAGGACTGGCAGGTGTTCAGTAATTTTGTTATACCGGTCTGATGAGTATCTGGTCGGGAATTTGGGTCTTAAAGTCAGGCACCCCCACAACTGGCCTGTTTTTCTGCTCTTCACTAATCAGACTGTCCTGTATCATAAATAGCCAGGTCACAGCCATGCCTACCTCATCCAGTAAATCTCATAAGTCTGGTGACAAAGATACTGTTTAACAACTTGGGTAAAAAATATTAGGCCTTGATATTTTTCACATGTCCTTCGTATTCTTGTATACACCTCCCATCTCAGTTGCTCAATATGCAGCGCGTTCCAACTTGGTGTTGTGTATGATTTTTTTATACTTTTCCTGATCGGATATAAAATGTCGCAGCATAGAATCATGCCCTTCATTGGAGTCCTAAAATTTGACAGTGGACAAAATTTTGCCATGGAGCAGTGACTAAGCTTAACTTTACTTGGAGACAATTTTAGACTGTCTGATTTATCAGTACTATATTATTTTTTAATGACCTTCTGGGTTTTTTGAACCACATGCATCAGTGCTTGTTGATTTTTAGTCGTTTTTCACCTAAAAGGCACTGTATTTTTTCTTTATGGCAATCATGATATATTCACTCCTATATTCTTTTTAACTGCCGGGTTTGTAATTCAGTCCAGAAAAATATGATAACTTGTATTTTTTTTCCCTTCCTTTTACTTGGGTCAGTACTTTTAGATGAAGTTAGGTTAACCAGATGATTAAGTCTATAGCTGGTCATATCTGTAGCTTTCCAGACAAATATTGTAATTTTGAGAGATCTTTCTCATAAGACACTATGGTTTCTTTGAAATGTCTTGAATTAGACTGTAGGAGAATGTTCAAATGTCCACTAGTGCCCAAGGTCAATGACCATTAAAAACCGCCACCACACTGTGTTTTTCAGCCTTCTTGTTGCTTCTTATGAAAAAAAAAAACTAAGTAAATGAGTTGGAAAAAAACGAATGTAGTAGTGAAAAACTGTTCCATGACTTATTCAGTCTGGTCTTGCAAGAGAGTGATACCTCATCTTCTTAATCTGAATCCAGATATTCCCTGTGGTATGCAAGAGGAGATAGACTATCTGCTAGTGTTTCATTTGTTTTGTGTACTGTTTGTTAGGCTAAAATTGCTGGTGTAATACATGATAGCTGTCCAGATTGTTATACTTTACATCTTTTTTAGAAAGGCATCTATATCACAGCTGTTTGTTTCCAGTCCATGGATTTTCAGAAACAATTGTTCAGTCATTTAGTAAACTCATCAGTTAATTTCCACAGATGCGTATCATCTGGATTTACTGATTTGCATACATTTAAATTTTTCAATGCCAGACCTTTTTTTTTTTTCTCAAATGTCATAAAAACTTCCCACAACATCTGTAGCAACAAGGGACAGTTTTCAAAAGTACCTTCACCCCATTTTGAAAAAGGATTTCGCGAAAGTTTGTCTTTCATTTTATGTGAGATTAATGGGATAAGCAGGGAGAAGTAAGGAGGACAAAATTAGATTATGCCTGTGAACATAGATTTGCAATAGCCAGAATAGGTGCAATAAATTGGATATCAAAATAGCTTCTGTCCTAAATTGTCTTCTTTGAAAACATTATCTAAGATTACAGCTACGTTTTTTGGTCTTTCATTTGGAAAAGACAGAGACTTGCAGAAATAAACAGTGATGTTGTCTCCACGAGTTTCCCTAAGAGCAATACAAATATATTCTCATTTGTAAATGCAGCAAGGGATTGAACCCTTTGCTGGAGCAGAGGATGTGAGGTCCTGTGGGCAGATCTGGAGTTTAAGCGCAGATCACATTGAATGCTTTTAATCTCTCACTTGCTGTTTTCTGGATCATGAACTTGTCCTCTATTATTTAGGGAGGCAGTTGATGAGGCACATTCAGCTGTATTTGTCATACACCAGATGTCAGGATAGTTAAAGTCACTCGTGCTTCCTCTTGTTTTAAGCTCCTCAACAGCTGGTCTGGGATGGTTTGCACATGCACACATGTGTGCACACACATGCACACTATCATTTAAAAACTACAGCAGGGTTTTTATCCCTGTGTATCCTAAATATTAACATGATTTTCCATAACACCCTAGTGTTCCTAATTCCTAGTGACTGGCAGCAAGCACACTGGATAATAACTGTGTTTTTAAGTGATTTGGGCTTTGAGAGTGCGTTTTGCCCTTTGCACTATCCCTTACCATCCCTTCATCCTTTCTCCATGACTGCTAGTGATACCTGCTCCCTGCAGGCATATTTGCAATAGCCATTCTAGTAGATCTGAATGCCTTTTAAGTAAAATGGAGCATCAGTGAGTTTGGTGATAACTCAGAACTCAAACTGCACATCTCCACTTAAGAGGTTTCAGACAGGCTTATTAGTTCATTGTCTTCCTCTGTTCTTCATTTTTCTCTGTCCTGACACTAAATAGTCCTCACATGTAGTGCTTACAAGAGCCACCGTTCATTTTTGTGTGTTGCTGAACAACTACCAAATGCAGCAGTGACCACATTTTGGCAGTGGGTGAAATGAAGCTTCTGCATACCATCTGCAAGGATCCTTCAAGATCAGCAAATGTGATCTATAATCTGCTGACACCTAAGCCTGCATTTTGACCAATGAGTGATATTTGGCAAAAAAAATTGAAAAGAAATTTGGATTTGAAAAAATAAAGGAAAACTAAAACCTCCTGTTTTGCCTGCACAATCTTTTTATTTTAAGAGAAGGATTTTTTATTTTTACATACCCGAATGAACCTTTTTGTCTTTTTCAACTCACTTAATGTATCCATCTTTCTGTCTCCTCATCAGGCCGCCTGTAGAAGACAGTCAAACCCTGCTGACACCAGTGGTGAGCTGTGGCCCACCAGGAGCCCTGCTAACCCGGCCCGTCATTTTAACCATGCACCACTGCGCAGAACCAAACACAGAGGACTGGCAGATCCAGCTGAAGCACCAGGCTGCCCAGGGACCATGGGAGGTGAGGTTCTGGAGCTCCAGCCTGTGTGCTGACTGAATGAAGGGCTCTCTGCTAGTCTTTCACTTCCCTTTCTGAACCTAGATGCCTGTATTTTGGGTTTTCCATGTGAGATACTTGGCTGTTACAGGCAGGCAGGAGTGCCCTTCAGCACTAGGTATCTAAGCTGCCCGGTGCCCACACAGAGATGCTATCTTGAGGCAGTTTGACACTTCCTAGTTCTAGGTATTTTCCATGAAATAGCCTTCATCACCAGGTTTTGGCACTTAAGCTACTGATTGTGGCAGGATATTGCGCCAAAGTCATGGAGTCAGAAGAAATACATAAGATAAAAAGCAGTGCCTGGAAACAATTTCTGTCTTGACTCTAGAAATAAGAATGGATTTTTACAGAATAGTTTTCACTCTCCTGGCTTTTTGTCTGTTTTCAAGAAAGGGAAAATAAGGCTGCAAATTATCTCCTTCAGCGCCAAGACATCATCCAGCTAAATAAAATGTATAGGCCTTATCTTTCTTTCCTTTTTCCCTCCTAAGATGTTAGTGGAGATCATTTGATTCAGTTCATGCAGCCAGTATTGAATTCCGGACCTTGAAAAGTCAGGGGAGCAGAGCAAGCATTGTTGGGTAGTGCAGGCTTGGTGGGAGCCTGATGTGGTTCTTTGCCAGCAGTGTAGCTGGAGAATGTCCCAAGGCAGTGTGGCACAAGGATCTTCCCGCTGTAACTGGAGCATAAAGTGATGCTTTCAGCAAGTCTGGGCCATCCTGACAAAGCCCTCCTCTCCAGCCCTGTGCTCCTAGGTACCTGCTGCGACCAGTTTGGTCTCATAATTAGTTTGGCAAGGGCCCTTTCTCCTACCAGTAGGTTTAATACGGTCAGGGTGGCTTCTGAAGGCAGTTGGGCTGACAACAGCAAAAGTGCCATGTCTAACATTGCCTTCAAAAGCCTGTTGTGTGTGTCCCCCTGCCTGTGGCACTGGCTTTTCCTCATGCTGGGAGGGAGCATGAAGCGAAACCAGGTCTATCTCGCCAACTAATCCGCACCCCACCAGCCTGACTTTTGGCACTGCACATATGTTCCTTATTTATGCTTGTGTGTTACTGGCATTCCTTCATTTTCTCCCCCATCCTTCTCCTGCCCTTGACAGAGGTTACTCTGCCAGCCACGCACACACTGGCACTAGTGCAGCCTCTGCAGCATCCACAGGGGCCCTGGCCATCACACAGCCACCTTCTTCTCTCAATTCTAGAGCAGCTCCTCGAAGCTGAGCCTCACACATAGACACAAACACAAACACACACACATACACACATGCACAACCCCTGCAACACTCGAGACCAGCACCTTCTGCCAGAGCCAGGAGCTGGCATGGCCATGGGGAGGTGCAGTCAGCAGTAGCACCTTACCCTCCAAAAAGATTGTGCCACCCCTGCAAACATGTCAGATTTGCCTTCCCTGAGACTAGGGTGCCCAAGGTTAGTGCCAAATATCAGTTGAGTGTACGTACTGCCGGGTGTGTACATTGTGCTGCAGACCTGCAGACAGCAGGGATGAAGCAGGCAAGTTGTGCTGAGCATCATGTAGCACGTGGTGGCTTTGCTAGAGGCAGCCGTCATCTGCTGCTGCTGTTTTGCTTCTGCGCTCTCTCAAAGCCATTCAAAGCACCTTGTGTTGCGTGCAGGATATTACATGCAGGGTTGAATGGAGAAATTAGCAGGGGAGATGTTTTCCTGCACTCCCGGGGTGGGGAGGTCAGGCATTCAGGCTGTATGTATTTTTTTTCTTCGCCCTGCAGTCTCGTCACGGAGGATTATTCTGGAGAAGCAGCAGGTGATATTTCATGTAGATGTGGTATTTGGCCATTGTAGGGGTTACTTCCCTTCCTTGAGTTTTTATAACTCCTTATTGTCATGCTTAGGAAGTAAAGAGCAGTTATTTATTCAACACGCCTGAGACTACTAGTGTTAAATCATGGTCACTAAATTATTAGTTCTGCAATATATTTTTCAATGAAGTCTTGGTGATATTTTCATTATTTGCCTGACTCTGCCCAGGGCTTTAAAAGCAGATGCGGGGCCCAAAGGAAGGAGTTCCAAGTCTTAAGGGAGGGAGGGCAGGAGGAATTTTCTACCACCAACATCGCCACTGGCACCCCAGAGAAATCATGTCCTCTCTGTGCCTACGCAGGAGAAAAGCTGGAAGCAGGAATTTTATTCTTGATTAATCTAAAATGCAAACAGCAAGGATTTTTTGCATCATCCAGGCTTGAAAGGGGCATTGCTGCCTCAAAGGAGAGCAAGCTGTGAGGGATCACGTGCACTAATTTGGCCTCTTTCTCCCTTAGGATGTGGTGGTGGTTGGGGAGGAAAATTTCACCACTCCATGCTATATCCAGCTGGACCCAGAGGCCTGCCATATCCTGACAGAAACCCTCAGCACGTATGCCTTGGTGGGACAGTCAATCACCAAAGCAGCAGCCAAACGTCTCAAACTGGCCATCTTTGGACCACTGTCCTGCTCTTCGCTGGAGTACAGCGTCCGGGTCTACTGCCTTGATGACACACAGGATGCCCTTAAGGTGATTGTTGATCTCTTGCTTGCTTTCCCTGTCCCTCTCCAGATGTATGAAGACTGCAGTGATAGTGGTGATTAGATCCTCTGCTCCATATATTCATGCTCCCTGGATTATTTTTCTGATTAGAAGAAGAGCTTGGCAGCAAGCTGCTGTTTTACAGTTTAACCTCCACATGCTATAAATTGTCCTTTGCATAGGGATCTCATGCTGTTTTCTGCCCACCAGTCTTTTTTCCTTTGTTTACCTGTATCATATCCTGAATCCTAAGGTTTTTGCATTATTAAAAGGCCATAAGGTACACAGGGCTTCATTCGTTATTCATGTATTTTTAATGCTAAGTGCCAGCTCCCCAGAGATGGAGAAACATATAAATGCTTCTTTGTAAATAGATGATAATGATAAAAGAAGCTTCTGGCCCGTTAATCACTGCCTGCTTTCGTACTGCTTTATTACACCTCTTCGCGTGCAGTTTTTTGTGTTGGGAATTCACAACTGAAATAAACCAAAGCTGTTGCTATCCCTAAATATATAACCTTACTCTTCCTGCATAATTCTGGCATGCACACAAACACATGCTCACTACATATAGATGAGCATATAGATAACCATAATTGCTGTTTCTCTTTATAAATACCTGTATTTATACCAATGGTATGTATAATAGATAGACTCATGAAATACTTAGCTCCAACTGCACATGCAAGAAGGGAGTTTATTAAAAGATGTTTTGGATTTTTTTTACTGTAACCAATGCAATTTCACAAATGCCTCTTTGCAGCAAAATGAGTTCAAAGCCTGACTAAGCAGAGTCATCCTGGTGCTGTATATGCTTTTTTTCCCCTCAGCTCTGCATGGGAGTTATGAGGATTTAAACCCACATACACTGGCTGGGAGATGTTTGTGTTTCTCAGAGCAGTGACTTCCATGACCGCGAGTAGCACGCTTAGTTTTCCTCCTCGATACTATCTGATATCAAGTTTTGCCTGCCTAGGCTTTGCTGGGAGGATACTCTTTCACTATATGTAAGAAAGGCAGCCAAGTATAAGGGTTGAAGCAGGCACATTGTGACTTAAGCATGGTTTTGTCTGTACAGGGCCTGGGGGTTTGGCCTCTTTCGCTGCAGTGGTGTTGTCAGCCTTTTAGAAACAATTATTTTCCCTGGTCTGATTTCCCTTTTGTTTTTCCTCCATAAAAAAAAAGTGAAAAGGATGTTTCATAGCAATCAAGCTTCAAAAGCCCTGACAGTTTTATGTCTGTGCTGCATAATACAATTTTCCACGGGTTCTACAAGGCCTGAGGTAATAATAAGTGAGTCGGAGAGCCCTTGGACAGCCAGCTAATGCAGTCAGAGCTGAGGAATCTAATTAGGTGTTACTCAAGAGCTGTTGGTCTGTTTCTAATAGACTGTAAGGGAGAGTTGTGAGGTAAAGTTAATCCAATTCGGTACAACAGTAGAAGGGATCAGGAGAGGCACAGACCCACACAGAGGGACATCCTTCGTCTGAGAAGCTGCAGCCAACATTTGGGAGGGCAGCAAGTCAATCCTTGGGCTTCTGCTGCAGGTAGTCCCCAAAGTGAAATCATTTGTAATTTTGTGAGGAAAGATGAGCAAAGTCAGGAAGCCACCATCCCACTCATACCTGCTACTTTTTTTACAGCAAGTTCATACATTTTAATTTTCTTTTTTTTTGGCATATCTACCCTAAGACTGGAAGGCTACCCATGGAGTTCAAGATGCAGCTGTCTGGTGGTTTGCAGGAGGACAAGCACACATACTTGCTGACCACAGACACTTACAAAAGTATCAGTTGCCATTCTTTGGAAATGAAAGGTCTAGGGAAGGTGAAGGTTTAAAAAAAAAAAGGAGCCTAGTAAACTAGCTGTAGATGAGTAAAATAGATGTAGATGAAAGGGTTGACTATGAACTCGTGTATAAACTGGTGCGTATGAACCAGTGCATACAAACCACTTTGTACTAACTATCCCTGTGATACAGACTCAAACTTTGACTACTGAGAAAGAAAAGAAAAGGTTGGGGTGTTTGCCACGTGCTTTCACAACAGCTGATACCACAGCAGCCCTGGTGGTGCAGGGGAGATATCCTTAGCACTGCCATATTGCCAAAGGGAAGGCACTCACTGGGCAGTCACCACTGGGAGTGTGGGACACGGCATGCAGACAGGGCTGGGCCAGCAGATCCTGAAGTTACAAGTATTTTGGAGAGGGAGGAAAAGTTGCAGACAGCAGGCAAGGCACCAGCTACAGCATCTCGGTGTCTCGAGGCTGGCTGCTCTGGGCAAAGCATGGCGGGGGGGGAAGAGCAGCGTGAGATGTTCCCACATTGAAATGTCTGAGGTTTGGAAGGGCCTTTGTACGGAATTATGTGTATTTTAATAGACAACCAAATGCATTCTGTTATTATTTACAACTAGGAATGAGTGTGCCATATGCTGAATGTGTCTTAACAGCCACCAAAGGAAGACAAGTATTTGCAGTATAAAACACAGTGCAGTGTTTATCCAGCAGAAGTTTCTCTCTCATCATGCAGAGTAAGCACTTGCTGCTGAACTGCCAGCATCTGCAGTACAGTAGGAAAGTGTAATGACTTCTCATCAATAAGGACTCAGTTATTGTGGGAGCAACTTAGTGAGGTTCCTGGGGGCTGTGAAGCAGTGTGGGCTCAGCGCTGATCACACATGCAGCACCCTCTGCCCCTCAGGTCCCAAGCCACCCAGATGGGATGCTCACAAAAATGCTTTTTGGGCAAGGGTAAGGGTAGCTGTGACCTCGAACACTGGCCTCTGTTTTTTAAGGCTTATTTTTGCACTTTGAGGGAGGTGCCCAAGCTAATCTGCTAAAACAAATAAATGAAAAAAAGGTAATAATTTCATAACTATAAAGAAATCCAGCTGCTTTATTCTGTTTATTCATGTGTGGCTCTGAGATTGGGGTATGTGACCTGTGTGTGGCAGTGTGGCAGGGACTGAGCCCTACAGGCACATGAAAACAGATGCCTCCCACACTAAGGGCAAGCAAATGACTTCAGGCAGTAGCAGAGTGGAATCCCCCAACCTGCCTCATGCTGCACAGTAACTGTCTTCAAAAAAACCACACAAAAAGGGGCACGACAGGCTTGTGATCTTCTCTCAGTTATTTCATGCACATTTCCTCTTATTGAAGGAAGGCAACAGCTTAGGCTGAACACCATTGCTTGCCTGTGCCCCATTAATGAGTAGACCCAGGTTGTGGCTGTTCTGGTTACACTGATGATGGAGTGATGCCTTACACAGCACCCTCTCCTAGGAAGGGTGTAAGGGCATAAGTCCTGCCTCACAGCGGTGGTGAGAGGCAAGGGGCAGAGTGGCTGCAACCACCTCAGCATGGGGCAAGGAACATGCAGCTCAGGTTTTAGCTCAGGAGAAGATAGAGGTGTCAGCCAGCAGGATAAGCATTGCTCTAAATAAAATGCCGTATGACAGGAACCAGCCATATAAATTCTGAATTAACTAGCTAAGGGAGAAGCACAGGCTGCTCAGCATCCTCCAGTAAGAGCATGTAGAAGGTCTGCAGTGACCAAGGGTCACCAAAAGGGTCCCAGCAAAAGTGGGATATTGAAACTAGACACCCAGATCTGGTGAGTGGATGGTGCAGCATCACACTGCAGTGTTTTTCCCCACAGTAGTGCAGCTCCCAGAGCTGCTGCAGCATGGGCAGGAGCAGTTTCTCAACACCTATGCCCCACATGCCTGAGAAGTGGCATCTGCAATTAGCTCACAAGTCATCTTCTGGCCCTTCCAGGGAGGTAATTTGGACATAATGAAGATCTATAGTAATCAGATAATTGCTATCGATTGCTCTTTAGACATCTTGACGAAGTAATTAGGTGGCACTGGAAAAAAGCTGGAGCTGATTCAGTGGCATAACCGTAATCTCAAAGGTATCCTGATTTTGTTTCTTTTCCTCTAACGGCCAATAAAAGGACATTGTTTTAGCTTCAGGGTCTGCCATATGCTGGGATGGGGGCTTTTCTTATATGCTAACTAGCTCCCTGAATGTGGTCAGGAGTAGCTTAGCTAAAATGGACGCTCCTTTATTCGTCCTGGGGTAGTATCCTGGTTTTGTGTGCCCACGTATTCCTTGAGCATTCTCACTCTGTGTGTGATTGTCTTTGGCCACATGAGACTTGTTGGTTGGATGGCTCTTTTAATTAAATATGACCGAGATGGGCTGTGTTGGTTTCTAACAGGGCCCATGTAGGTGCCTTTGTACTTGCTTCTCCCATGTGGTCTACAATTAGGCTGTTTGTAGGCAATATTCCACTGTGGTTTTATTAATTAAAGGCTTATATTTATTTTTAGCTTCAGAAAATGACCAGACTCTTGGCTCACTAGCTTTTAATTACGTGATCAATATTGCAGTAACCCTGAACCAACACATTCATATTCATATGTACAAAATGCTCGATCACAGTGTCTTGCATTGTTTTCATACCACCCCCTTTGACAGTCTCAGCATAGTCATCTGTTATCTCCTGTACCACTCTGTCATAGAGCACTTCATCAGGAGGCCACAAGGTGAAAGACCAGTGGTATGCACAGGTCCCATATCAGCAGGACCTATACCAACAAGAGTTTCCAAAAACAAAATAGCAAAGCTACCATTAGATGTCCAGTTTGATGAGCAGTGGAGAAGACTGATCTATTTCTGTACTCAAACAGTGACTGCGTGCAAAGTCTTTACATTCCATATAATAGCACGCAATTAAGCTTCTGATTAAGGACATGAAAAATAACACTGCATCTCCCAAAGGAAAGGTGCCTGCATCTCTGCTGGGCTGCTGCTGTATGAAGAGGGTGAGTGGCTTATACTCAGATCCACTGGTGCAGTTCCAGTTCACAGGGAAACACAATGCTTGTGTATTTTTTTATCTATTTTACGCAAGTTACAGCATCTACAACAGACAGTCTTGAGGACTCAGAAGACCATTGTTCTGTCTTGATGAAACCTGACCACTCTTTTCTTTTTATCCCAATACTGCAGGAGGTCCTGCAGCTTGAGCGGCAGATGGGTGGGCAGCTTCTGGAGGAGCCCAAAGCTTTGCATTTTAAGGGAAGCACTCACAATCTCCGTCTGTCCATTCACGATATTGCCCACTCTCTCTGGAAGAGCAAACTGCTGGCTAAATACCAGGTGAGCAACACAAAACATTCACATTGGATCCTAGCAGTGAGGATTACAGAAATACTGCCATGCACAGGTGTGTTTGAAAAACACCAGGTGCCAGGCTATATTCCCATGGACAGTTCTTCCCCTGGACCATTTGCATTCACAGTAGCATGGAGCCCACAGTCTCTGGTCACATAGTATCCATGCCTTGATCTCAAATCCTCCCTGACTGTACTTTTTTGCTTTCCTCCTGCAGGAGATACCCTTTTACCACATCTGGAGTGGATGTCAGAGAAACCTGCACTGCACCTTCACACTGGAAAGGTTCAGTCTGAATACCCTGGAGCTGGTGTGCAAACTCTGTGTGCGGCAGGTTGAAGGAGAAGGACAGATCTTCCAGCTCAACTGCTCTGTTTCAGAGGTAAATGACCCTTCCCATTGCTACCTGTTTAGTGATTCCCATTTTCCTCCTGACTGCTGAGATAGACATAAAGAATGGATTAAATCATTGCTTTGTATCTCCTCTTGCGTTTTCCCTTAGTTTCTCTCTTCTGGAAGGAAGAATCACTCCTTCAAGGGAGTGAGGAGAGCAGCCTTGGTCTCCCTGCTAGTGCTACCTTTCTATGTCTATGTGGAGGAGCTCTTTTCCTACCACTTCCTAATGCATCTCATGAAGCACTGCTTGGTCCTGTTTCCTATCAGTCCATGAGACCCATCATGCCTGATGTTCCTGGAGAAGGAGAAAAGAGAATAGGAAAATTTCAGTGCCACATGTTTCATGAGCCACTCCCCTCTGATCCCACATAATAGCTGCAGTGCAATAGGGAATATCAAATGGTCTAGTTGCAGTAAACTTCTCTCCTTGTATTTTTCTACTGCTACAAATCCTGACTATTATTTTTAGGCAATTTTTCTTTTGATGGCTGATATTTTCCAGTAGAAATTTTATCATAAGTTTGGTAACATCTTTACCAGTGCTATATAGAACCTGGAGAACTTTTGCTCCTTGAGGCAGTCAAGTTTGGGACAGAGACCAAGTAACACATTTAAATGTGAAGTGGCATTGACTTCAGTGAATATGCTGGTGGGTTTTATTCCTGGTACCCTTGGCAGCTACGAGGAGCAGACTCTCAGGCAGCAATTACAGCTGGCTGACTTCTGGAAGGGCTGTGAGACCAGAGACAAAAGTTACTTGTGCTATAGGGCCCTAATGTTGTGTGCTATTACCCATAACATCTGCTTGGTTAGTGGGTGTACAGTTACAGATTCATCTGGGGACTACACAGCATTAAGGACAGATGGTAAAACAAGCATCTTAAACAATTATTGTAATAAGTGCTGCATTGAGGTAATCACTAATTTAACCTCACAGAGAAGAGAAAGAACTGAAAGTAACTTTAATGAAATGCAAGTATACACTATAATCATCTTCAGCTGGTTGTGTGTAATATAGCCTGGTAATAGATTCAGAGGGAACAGGGTAATATTCTTGTCTTGTGCTGTGATCCTATCCATCAAGGATGAATAGAGGGAGTGAATAATACCACTGCTTTCAAGGCTGCCTCCTGCAAAATTGCTCCTTGTTGTTTACACCTTGTGATGTTCCCAAGCCCAAGCAAGGGGCAAGAGGACCTTGGGCTGCCAAGAGCTGGCATAGAGGGTCAATTAGGAAAAAATCCAAAATCTCAGAGATTTGATGAGAAGTCACCTGGAACTTGGAAACGGATGATTATGTCTCTAGAAGTGTGGTAAAGACATCAGACCAGGCTTCAGGAAACCTTAGCTGTGGTGCCTCACATTTTCTTCTGAGGTTAGGCTAGTGGTATCCAGCTAGTGGTTAAGGATTGCAGGAGTGTGCTGGCATCTTTCTTTATTGCTGGATCTGCCTTTCTGCCTCTGTCACCCTGCAGTAAAAATATAGTAGCACAGTTTTCTGCATCCTCCCTTTATGGGCTTTCTTTTTAGTCCCCTGTAAAGGATGTAAGATTTCTCCAGATTAAACCATCTTATACTGGCTTTTACAGTGTCTGCCACTGGGACTTCAAAAATACAAATGTAATGAGTGCCAAAACATGCACATTTGAAAAGCAGGAGGAAGACTGCAATAAAGGTCCCCCACCATTTGTTTCTGAAGCCCTCTTTTTATCTCCTGGTATTGATAATCACACAAAAGTGCCACGGGGCAATGCCGTGGATACCTGGGTTCCTTCTGTAGCAATCCTGAAACACCTGAGGCTGCAGGCCAGCTTTGGAGCCAGAGCAGCGCTTGTGTCCTTTGGCCCAGAATATAAAGAAAAGGTTATCTCTCTGCAATGCCCCAATCACCACCCTACTGCTGCTTCCTACCTCCCAGTGCAGGTGAGCCTGCAGGCAGCAGCTGTGTCATAATTTTGCCTGATCCTGGACAGCTCCTGCTGCCAGACAGTTGGGCAATAACTCATTGCTTGAAGCAGTGGGGTTGAGGCAGACAGTCTGTGGTGCAGGACCTTGAAACCCAAGTACAGATGTCACAATGTCACATTTGCAATGTTAACTGAGGACATTACAGTTAATTCCTTGGTTAGAAATTTCACTGCCTCAAATGCCTTTTCTATTAAAAAAAAAGGCAAAAAAATATCATATTTATAGAGTTAAGAATTAATTGGTGTAGATAAAAGAATGGAGGCAAAAGATTTAATTTTGTTCATTGCTCATGGATACTGGCTCTCCACTTTCCATCTTTGAATACATTTGGAGTTGGGAAATTGAGGACTGCACGTGACTGTGAGCTTCTCCAACAAACTCCTTGGGGGGTTTGCAATGGCAGCTTAAATCAGGAGTTACCTGGTTTTAAGACAGTTTTAGATATTACAGGGCATTCTCAACAGCCAGTTTGACACCAAGCAACAAGACAGCTCACAGAGGTGAAAACAAATTGACATTTAATGACAAGTCTTTAGCAGAACTGTTTCTGGCTGCCTGGGGCTGTGATCTGGATCTCCCTCATTTCTGCCAGAAAAGGAGACCAAATTGAGAAACAGATTAAGAAGCGTGAAGGCAGAACCAGCCATGCTTGCTGATTTTTCCACTGGAGGTGGGAAGTGCTGCACATGTGAGCAGCATTCCCACTGCACAGCTGGGCAGCCAGTCAGCATCAATGAGGTCTGGTGGGGCTTTCAGCCACCCTGGAGGACACCAACCATCCAAATTGGCCAGCTGCCATTGTCCTATCAACTACCAAGCCTGTGGGTGCTAAATCCTTCCAGGCCAAGGAAAAGACAAAATCCTTGCCCAGAAGAGCCACCTGCTGTTATTCCCAGCAGAGCCATGTTAACAGTGGTGTCATGGGGAGCCTCCCAGCTGGGAGGACCACATCAGAGAGAACCAACACCATACCTGCAGGGGACAAACTGGCTTTGGAGGTGACTTTTCCTTTGAAACACTTGCTGCCATACTGCCTTTGAGCACAGCGCTGTCCTTGGGGAGGGAGGACAATGACTGCCCCCTCCCGAGCACATCTCTTCAGCTCCATCTATTTCCAGCACAGAGTTAAAGCTGCATAAAAATGAGGGATCTGTAACTGTCTGTTTGTCTGTGGTCTGCACAGCATCAGAGGCTTCAGAGAGCATGAGTGCTGCCAGAAGGATGTCAGCGTGTGAGCCTGGTGCTGGCTTGGTGGGGCATGGGGGGCTTGGAGAGATGCTGGGAAGGCGGTTTTTGTCAGCCCAGTTCTGTTCTAGTAATAGCAATTTGCTCTGAAATGTGTTGAAATAATGATCTTTCATTATTTCTAGTAAGTGATTAATTAAGCTGGTCTCAATTTTTCCAGCCATAGTGATCTTCACCCACAAAAAAAAAGGAGAAAAGAAATCTTTTGTCTACCCAAAGTTGATTGTAAATATTTCTCTTTTCCAGCTGACTAACCTAAACACTTGATTGGCAGAGGGCTACAAGTAAAAGCACTGCATCCCAGAGGATACAGTTCTACAATTGTCTCTGCACTCAGTAACAAAACTGATGGGTTGTTTAAGCTTTTTCCCTGTCTTTCCAATCTCAGGAACCTACTGGCATCGATTATCCTCTCATGGACTCAGCAGGCACCATCACCACCATAGTAGGGCCCAGTGCTTTCAGCATCCCCCTCCCGATAAGACAAAAGCTGTGCAGCAGCCTGGATGCACCTCAGACCAGAGGCCACGACTGGAGGATGCTGGCCCACAAGCTGAAACTGGACAGGTGAGCAGGGCTGCTTATGTGTGGTTGGACAGTGAAGTGCCCAGGGAGGTATGTGCAGAAGGGTCTTGTTGGATGTCCCTCTAGGTGAGTGAGAGCAGGTGTACAGGCTGATCAGACTGGCTGCACAGGGGTTAACACCTTGACAGTACCAGAAATGGGGATGGGTTGAAATCATATGAATTCAGGTAGTTTTCATGCAGCTCAAAGAAATGAGTTTCCTTTTGGCTCATTGCAGGTACTTAAATTATTTTGCTACGAAATCAAGTCCCACTGGGGTGATCCTGGATCTCTGGGAAGCCCAGAATTTCCCTGATGGCAACCTGAGCATGCTGGCAGCAGTTCTTGAAGAAATGGGAAGACATGAAACAGTTGTTTCTTTGGCAGCAGAAGGAAATTACTAATGCAGCCTTGGCGTGAACAGGAAGGACAGACGCAGAGAGCAGTAATGCCCTGTTATTGCAAACGAGAATTGAAATGAAAACCCAGACCAATGAGTTACACAAGAGACATTTCAGAGAAGAAAGCAAGGAAGCAAATAAACAAAAAAACCAGCCCTGACCTTCACACATGTTCTCCTTGTACATTATCACAGGATCAAAAAGAAATCATGCAAAGTTGTACCTTGAAAATATAAATCAACATAATGTTCCTCTCGGCTTGGCTGTACACTGCTTGGTACAGGATTTTACAGTTTCCTAGGAAACGCTTTTTATTGCTATCCAGATATATGGATAAACTTTCTTAACAATCCCACTTTCTATGGATGTTGTTTACATCAAATTCTGGACAGGGGTAAGGAGACTGTCCATGGCTCTTTATATTTTTTGTTTAAAGCCATTCTAGACAAGGCTATGGACAGGTGGTTGTGGCTATTATTGGTTTCTGGTGAATTCAGATTTTGGCTACAATTCTGCGCATTGGTTGTCTTGCAATGATCCTCTTGTCATCGTTCTGTTTCCTAGACCTACTTGTAAAAAAAAAAAAAAAAAAAGAAAATCAGGGTTTGAGAGGTGTGCATCTGGAAAGCAGGTACTCTGGCTGATAAGCAGGAACACAGGTAATGTTCCCTTCCTTTCCCGAGGCAGCCCCACTGAGCCTGTGTGGAGAACAGCTATAAGATGGTGGGGAATGCAGGATCTGAGTTAGTTTTCAATTCACACCCTTTCCACCCCTTTGCTATATGAGGGGGCCAGATATGCAATTCAGAGTGGTTGGGAGGGAGGGGGATAGAAACGCAGAAAAAAATAAAAGAGAAAAGTTACTATGATAATTTTTTTACTGATTAGTATCTAGTGCAAGGATTATAATGGCTATTATTATTACCATTATTACTTTATTTCTAATTTTGTCAGCAGCAGAATGAATAATTTCTGATTTTATGGAACCTGTTGTCCCTTTCCTGAAGGTCTTCTAAGACATGTCCTTCTATATGCCATCTGCCCTTCCCTTTGTCAGCTATCATACTCCTCTTCCAAAGTCCTCTGCCAGCCCACACAGGTTGCTCACCTTGTGTTAGCATTGCTGTGCATCATGCTAGATGCAAAGGCAGTATAAACTGGTGACACTCTGCTGAAGTCACTGATCTGCACTCACCAAGTATCTGACCCAACACCCCTCCCTGGGATGTTTTACACCACCCTGGTGCTTTCAGGTTGCTCCAAGAAGCAGTCTTGTCCCAAGGTGGCTGTGAACCAGAGGCAGCCTCCCAGTCCGAATACACATGGACCACTGGTTCAAGACCACAGGTGCAAGCATGTGGAGGCACTGACATTGGCCACCTGATTTGTGCATCCAAGGTGGGTCTTCATATTGTTTGCTTTGTTGTGTAGTGGTCTAAGAGCCAACAACTCCTGTTTCTTCCCCACAGAGCTGCAGGTACTCACTTTTACTGAAACCCACCACCTTCAGTAATGTTTGCCATGGTTGGGGTTACTGACAGTCCAACCCTCTGCTAGGCCATTTCTGTGTGAGATGCACTTGGTGATCTCCATGGATACTCCCAGGCTTTGCTGCAGCCTGTGTCATGTGAGTCTGTGTAGGGCAATGGAGCGGTGAAGTTGAAATCCCGTGTGCTGCAGTTTGCTGCCTTCACTGTGCTCCTGCCACCACTGCTGCCTAGTCAGGGAGCTGCAGGTTCTCACTGGCTGACCAGGAGATGTTTGTCCCTCTAGGCCACCACAAACAGGTAAAGTTTGAATTCTGCAAAATGAGCAAACCAAAAATGGTCGTCCCTGCAAACGTATTTTGTGTTCTGCTCAGTGAAAAGACTGACTCTTTGATACATGACAGTGAATAGGATTGCTGTAGTTTTACTGCCAGACTTGTCTGTCCTCTACTTCTCGCACAAAAAGCCTTTCTTCCCCAGCCCACCCGCTCCAGGTTTCCAGCCAGGCCCTGGTTATTGCTTTTGTGCACACATGCATGCCCCATCCACATACGTATTCCCACTCCGTATGCTTCCTGTGACTGGAGTTGGCTTGTTCTCTTTTGTGGTCTTGGTTTTGTTTTCCCCAAGGCTTTCCATATTGTGCTTTTGAAGGTAACTTTGAAAATGTCATTGGTCAAAATGAAAAGAAAATTTAATCTGACCTTTTTTTCCATTTGACATTTCCGTAGGCTTGGCACCTTTTGTTTCTCAGCTCCCTGACCAGTAAATAAGGTCAATCAAAACCAGTGGGGTTTTGATTGACCGCTGGGCAACAAGCACAAAAAGTTCCCTTCCTTGTAAGAGGTAACTTGGCAGTTTTCCAACCAGCATTTCAGTGAAAACTGGAGACCAGAGGATATACATTGTAACTTTCAACATCTGTGTGCGTTTAGCCTGTGTCAGCCCCACCTTCTCTTAATATGGAGATGATATGGACATCCTTTCAACAGCCAACCATCTTCTTGTTCACCTTGGGCATCTGATGCAGCCCATTGCAATGCTAATGTAAATTTTGCTTTCAACTTCAAGAGGCTTGTACTGGGGCTTTCAGCTCTGCCCTTTCTCCACACTTTTTACTCACCTTGGAGCACTAAAATAGGTCTCAGCTTTTTTTTCTTAGTTTGTGCTTCTTCACCTTTCCCATGTGTCCTTTCTTCATGACTCTGCGTCCAAGGTGGGTGTATGAGTTGAACTGTCCTTTGACCCTTTCCCATCTTCAGCTCAGTCTGTGTTGGCTGATCCCCAGGCTCACTGGTACTCCCCAGCTCTCAGCTTTTGCCAGGTGGGCAGCATGTGCACCCTTCTCACTGGGGTCATACCAGTGACACCCAGAAAGTGTCTCATAGTTATCTGTATTGCTATGAGTGGATGCTCCTTTTGCCAGCTCTCTGACCTACATTCTCACACCTCCTGCAAGAAGAACAGATGAACAACTTTCTTAAAGTATTCTGGGGCATTTTCCTTTCCCAGCATCACAGTAAAGGGGATTTATTGTGAGGAAAAATACACACTGATTAAGAGGAGCATCCACAGAGGTGGTCAGGAACATAACCATTCATCACTGAACATGACTAGGGCAGGAGCATCACCATCACTGTGTGGTGGAGCTGCTCTTCTTCCACCCTGGCTGCTCAGAAACCTTCTGTCACCTGCTGCAATCATGAGCTGGATGGTTTCTTCAGCACCTGCTCCATAAGCCTTTGCAGGATCCCAGTGCGGCACTGTGTCAGCTGCCCCGGCCCTGACAGGGCAGGGAGAAGGTTCCTCCATAGAGTCACAGCTCATCCCAGCAGCTCCACACTCATTCTTTGCCACTGCTGCCAAAGCAGCTCCCACTTCACCTCACACTTCCCTGCATTAATTTTGCCCAGCTTTTTCTTTTTTTCTGGGGGTACAGCAGTGGCCAGGTGTGCATTGTGGGAGAAGGCTCTGGCAGAGGCTAGTGGTATTCACCAGTCAGCATTCCAATCCTGCTGCCCCAAGGAGGGAGGGTGGGAAGCAAGAGCAGCCAGATCCGCTCAGGGTATTATTTTTCGTGGGAGAAAAACCAGCAGCAGTCCCTCCACTTGGATTGCATGGACACAGTGCCATCTTGTGGGGCTGAGCAGTGGCTCCAGCGTGCTGCTGCCACCACGGCGAGCAACTTCGCGTGGGAAAACGCTTTCCTGTGGGGTGGCTCTGACAAAGACGTTTGGCAGACAGAACAGACTCTTAAAAGTTGTTGTAAAATTTTATGTCAGGTAAGCACATCTGCTTTAAAAGAAAAAAAAAAAGGCTGCAGGCTTCTTATCCTCCAGTTATTGCTATTTTTTAAAATGCTTATTGTTTTAGTTGTTCGCCCTTGGCTCTGTACCCGAGCAGTCTTGCTGCTCTCCACGCCATCTCTTCATTACATGTTGATTGCTAGCGCTATAAATAGTATATATATTATATAAATATATATAAAATATCTACTGACTTCGAGGAAAACCTTTAATTTCCGAGTAAGAACCATTTATCGGAGGCAGTCCTTTTCACCTGATTTTTTTCTTCAGTTCTTCTTGTGTTGTGTTCTTGTAAAGGTGACTGTCAGTGTATAGGGTAACTTTGGGGTTCGGTTGGTTTTTTTTCCAAAATTTCTGATGGCATTTGGATCCACTGTATCTCACTAAACAGTGTAAGACCTAAATGCTGTTTTACTGAATCTTGAAAATTTTGCAGCAGTGAGGGTCTCCCAATATTTGCTTCCATGGGAGACTGAGACTCTTTTCCATCTCGCTGGCAGAAATGCAGACACTCATGAGAGACATGTTGGAGTCTGCAATACCCACAGAGCAAAACATGTCTGTTCCTTGGGTTTCTTCCTATTTCTGTTGCTTACATATAGAATAAATGTATTTACATGCTGTAAGCCCGTCATTGTGGACAGTGTCCTAATGTCTTGTATTGCTACCTACAATAGTTTCTTTTTTGTTCTCCTTTTCTTCTTCTGGGGATGGGGGTATGGGAAAGGGAGGGGTGGGAGGGCCCTTAGACCATTGTATGCTCTAGCCAAGTAGTTACCACAGCTCTGAGGTTATTTTTATACACAATGATACTGTTGAGATTTGCTTGATTTTGTGTTTGTTTGGTTTTTTTAATCTCATGTCTATGACACTTTACTGTAAACTATCTTACTAAGTGTTCAGAAGTCTTTTCAGGTACTACTCTGGCTCTCATCTGGCCATGAAGTAACTTACTGTTTGCAGGCTGGCTTGCTTAATACCAGGCAGTACAAAGATGTGAGTGGTTTGTGAATGGAAACCAAACCTTCGGCCCTTCTCCCGCAGGGACTCCAATGAGTTACTGGCTTTGGGTCACCACCGCAATCCATTCCTAGCTTGCATGTGAAACCTTGAATTCAGAAAATGAGCTGCACTACAGATTTTTAAATGCTGGAGCATGTATCTCAGACATCCTCCGAAGTGGGAATTTAACAGAAATGTGAAGAGTGTGTGTGTGTGTGTGTGTATACACATACAGACAAAGGGGAGAAAACAAAGGACTACTGCTGGAGGCTTTTAGCTCTGATGTTAGTTATGGGCATCCTCTTATTATCAACTTTTCCTTGGGAAGGGGAAGGTTAAAATTCAGTGCTGTATCATCACTGCAAGGTCAAATAGGCAGTATATCAAAAGCCAACAGAGTAAAAACTGGCAAGTAACTGGAATTGGACTTGAACCAAAGCCACGGAAATGAGCCCTCAAGTTTGGTAGGTCAAGCTCCTTGCTTGAATAGGAGCATTTAGTTTATTTACTTACTTGTCCTTTAAGCTTGACACTGCTGCCTGAAATCTGAAAATCCCTTTATCTGAAAGTCCTTTGATAAACTCTGCCTGTACGAAAAAGCAGTGATAATCCAGTGCTCCCACAAACCTCTATCCTAAATAGGTATTTCACTTTTTCTGTGGTGCTAGTTAAATGTATTTAGTACTAGTTCGGTCTCCTCAACTGCTTACAAAGCCTGCCTTCTTCTCTCAAAGCATCCCATGTCATGGCATGTGAGTACCTTCTGGATGCCTGTGAAGAAGCAGGATGTAATCAGGCAGGGCCCTCCCACAGCTATGAGGTAGCTCTTCGAGCACTGGCACTCTGCTCTCCAGCTGCCAGCTTGCAGCTGATGGGACAATAGCCCCTAGATGAGAAAAGCTTGCACAGCCCTCAGAGCTTCTTTGGCTGCTGCCAGCTGGCTCTTGCTACCACTTGCCAGTAAATATGGGAGCTTGCACGATACAACTAAAAAGCAAAATCAACCTGGAAAGTAAACAAAATTAAGGAGGAGAGGCAAAACACTCTTCTCCCATAGACCTTCCAAGGTACCTTGCAAAAACATCTGAGCTGAGAGCCAATAACCTACTTTGAAGTAGGGTGTGTAACACAGCTGAGACAGAAGTTGTGGCATTAGCCGGCATTACTGTTTTCACATATCTGCATGGTAGACTTTATTTGCTAAAACATATTCTGTTTGTTATTGTTGAAGAGTGGAAAAAAAAAAAGTTAAGATGATATCTTCAGTACTTTTCCAGAGCAAAGAAGGAGGGCCCATAGGAAATGAAACATCTGTGCAACCGAGGTGTATCACATTTCTCCCTCCTCTTCCCATGTCACAGCTCTACCGGGGTTCATGGGATTTGTTTTCTTTGCTATTCAGATCTGGAGAACTATTTTGGTTTTGATTTCCCTATTGCTGTATCTTCTATGCAATTCCTTTTCTAAAGACTGACTTACTACAGGAGAAGTGCTAGCCATTGCATTATTTGTATTGCTGTACAGTGGAGGTGTGGTTTACTAGTTCTGAGTGTGCCTCTTACCCCCCTCCCTTTTTCTCCTTCCCTCTGTTTGTAAATGCCTGCATTTATTCTGTCAGCCTGACATGTACAAAGTGTAAGAAAGAATTTTTAAACAGGTAATAAATTATATTTATAAGCAACTGGAAAAAAAGTGCACCGCTACCTTGTGTTCAATTGTTTAGTTCCTGGAAGCTTGGACGGAAAGTGGAGTCTTTTATTTAGTTTCTTTAAAAAAAAATCTCCTCAAAAGAAATTATACTGCACATAAGAACTCCTTCTGATGCACTCTCCTTCAGAAGATATCCTTCATGAAATCCACATGCCTGTGCAGGCTGTTTCACTGCACTTCATAAATCCTCGTGCTTCCTCATGCTGTTTTACCCCAGCTGCTAGAGGGGAGCTCATCCTGGACAGTTTTCCTGGGGTTTGCATTTCGTGGCCACAGTCAAAGGTGGAGAAAAGCAACAGGTAAGAAAACACGTCCTTTGCCTAAGAAGTAAAATAAATGCCACTTGGACAAGGTTATTTTGTCCAGCAATACCTGCTTATGTCATTTACCTTGAACCAGGTGGATACAATGCCCAAACAGCGATGTTCACTCTTCTTGCACCCGCTCCCCATTTTCAGAGATGGTAGTTGTTTCTCCCTGGCCTTGTTAGACCTATTGGGGTCAGTATAAAATTTCTGGGAGTGCAAGAGGCAATTCCCCAGCACAGTTGCATGCTGCTCCTCTCAGCTAGGGTGTGGGGTGACAGTGGGGAAACGGGCATCTCTTACCACCAGTCCCTTGCCTGCAGGTCAGCCCCAGGCTGAGAAGCCCACCCTGCCCAATATGGAGGTGATACAGGGGCCTGGGCACTGCCAGAGGCAGCATTATCCCATCCCATCTTGTCCCACCCCATCCCCTGGGGGTGCAGGGTTGCCTGCTGACCCTCGGAGTGTTGCCATGCTGAGCAACACTCAGCCCTTGTCCCCTCACATGCCAGCCTCACAGTGCGCCAGAGAAATGTGCTCACTCGGTAGCTCTCCCTGCAAGCAGCAAGCCAAGGTTAAGTCCAAGCTGAAGCACTCAATAGCATATGAAGCCAAACAGCACACAGCCCAAAAGCCAAGAACTTGGAGACAAGTGCATTTGCCAGATTTGTGAGACCCTACAGCCCAGCTGGAAAAGCGCAGACCTTTAAAAACCCATCCCTGGCATGCCTGGATTACAGCAAGCTATTCCCAAGGTGTAAGGTAGTTTTATTCTGTATTCCTCCTGTTGCAATGTTTAACGTGAGCTATGTGGCAGGCAGAAGACAACTGCTCAGGCTGTTCTCCCTGAGCATAGGACAGCTAATGCTTCTTAACAAAGTGTATCACTAACACAAGTGATACATGATCTCCCATGCAATCTCTGCCTCCTGGCTCCTGTAACTTATTGGCTCTCAACAGGCAGCAATTCTTCACAGGACGGCAGGCAGCCTCACAGTACCAGCTCATGCAGTTGTCCCTTGCAGCTACTAGGGACAGAGCTGGGGACTGGCAGGTCACTGAGCCAAGACCTGACACCTGAAGTCCATATGAAATACTGCACATTGCTCATTGTACATCGAGCATGGCACAGAGCTGTGCCCAAGCACCAGTGACAGGTTTACTGCATCCAAAAGCCACCAGACCTTTGGGAACATGGAGGGAAAATTATTCAGTTTTTTATTATTATTTTATGATTATTTTCTCTGTTGTAGGGATAGTTAGATTATATATGAAGCTTGAAGCTATGATGTGAGGGGAGGATCTGTATCCCAAGGGACAAAAGACACAACTTTGGCTACAACGTGGTCCAGCAGTTAAAGAGAGCTGAGCTGCAGGCAGGGCTGGTTTCTGCAAAACTGTGCCCATGTTGGACAGTTGCTGCTTTTAGATTTCTTGGTGTCTGTCTGTCTTTCCCTTTACATACTCAGCCTTCACAGGAGACAAGTTCTTCTTTGTCCATCCCACCATTCCCACCCTGTCCATGTGTATTGCCGAATTTCCTTTGGTTTCTGACACCCCTAAGGATTGGTGTCTCCCATAGCGTGCAGTCTTTGCATTGCCCCAGCAGTTCCCTCCTCATTTTCAGGGACTTAGCCTTCAGGTTCCTGACAAGTAGCTGTTCTTCCTGAGACTCCTGGAAGAGTCTGCTCTGGTGTTGCTACCTTTGAAGGTGGGACTGCGACTCTCCTTCCCAGGAGAGGCACGGTTCAGTGTGTTTGACAAGGAAGCAGAGCTCCAATTTTGGCAGGGGACAGTAGCATGACTGCCAACCTTGAATGGAAGGGAAATAGTCACAACATTGCTTGCAGTTGCAGACGATACACTAGTAGCTATCTAAGCCCAAGGCTAAATAGCACCTAGCAAGGTGAAGAAGAAAGAAAATGACAACAGAGCCTAAGACTGCCCCAAAAAGCCATACTTAGAAAGTTAGGCCAGGACAAAGCAAGCAGGATAGGAGGAAGAAAGCAGTTGCAGAAACACTAATCTCAGCAGCATGCTGGAGAAGGGGCAGCCCAAACAGGCTGTGCTGGAGCAACACATCGCCTTCAGCACCATGCAGCCAAAGCAAGCAGAAACAGACCTCAAAATATGGGATACAGCAACATGCCAGGGACAACTGCAGCAAGCACAGGGCTTTCCCCACCTGGATGTGGCCAGGTCAAGGGACTGCAGAAATGTTGCTGGAGAATAATTGCAATGCTCTGCCACTGATCACAGATGGTGTGGGGCAAAGTAGGAGGGCTGCAGGGGCTGCATGAAGGTGGCAACTCAAGGGCCAATTGCTGTTTACATACTTCTCTGAAAATAACCAGCAAGGCAATTAAACTAAGAAACACTGAGCTGAATCTGCAACATAGCACCGCAGAATGAGAAGATGCTCCAGCTGTAAGTACGACTACATACAAATATCTCCCTACATGTAGCAGTACACATGATCCAATGTCTCTCAGCATTAAGCAATGCCATGTTTCAGCTGATGCTGTGTATGTAGGTTGGAACTTTCTCACCTGAAGCATGGAGCTGAGAATTCTATCTTCAGTCTGTGCACAGATGACCTCCTGTGCTTGTGCTATTAAAAATAGTAGTCAAAATTCATAAGTATGTGGCAGAATGAAGGGGGGGGGTCTCAATAAAATATTATGCAAATGCCAAATTTCTATAGATTTACATAATCAGCCTCAAAACGCAGGTGACTGCTCTATTAGTGATAACACTATTTTAATTACTATTTTTCTCTTCAGTGAGTTGTGAAAGAAGTGATGCTTTTTTATGCCAGTGGAAACATATGCAACTTATTGCTGTTTACTTGTTTGCTCAGAGGAAAAATCTTATAAAAATAAAATAAATAAAATGAAGCACAGTCAAAATAATCTAGCCAGGGATATGAAACCCAAAGATAGTGCTTTTCAAGCACATGAAAAGGAAATAGAAGTAAAAGCAATCTCTGTCATGGGGAGATGGAAACAATTTTATTTGGGGGGGAATGTTAAAACAACCATATACAATTTGAACAAATACAACGTAACACAGTTTGTTCCCCAAGTTTTCTAATTACAGTATTTACAGGTTTAATAAGGCACTGGTTCTCAAAAAAGAACACATATTAGTTTCTTAGTCTTTACATTGTCAACCTTTTCTTTAATAGAAATAACTTTGTGCTAGAGAAAGGATAGCAGTTGCTAGATGGCATCTCTCTTCCTTTTTTTAATTTCTTCTCCCACTTACCTATGCCATCTTACCTATGCCAGTCAGAAACTAAACTAAACTTCCTTCAGTGATTTACATTTGAAAAGTGGATTTCTAGACCTGTGGGCACGGAAGTCACAATTATCTTCACCACTGACTTCCAAGCCCTCACCAAAGCACACTGTGAAACTACCAAAATCTGGAAGTGACATTAAAAGGCCACACCTGGCAAAATAAACATATAACCTGTAGTCTCTGTACATGCTGAAAGCATAATAATGACACATTGAGTGTTACAGAAAGTCAGCCATGCAGGCCGTAACTGAAATGTCACAGTGCTAGAACAAACAACCTCCACACTTGCCTTAGGTTGTTTCCTGGCCTTAGAAATAGCCCTTTACAATACCATCTATTACAGTGGGTAGGAGATTTGAGGGCAAAATCTGGCCTTTTGAGTCTTGGGAGAAAATAGGTAGGCACTAGTTATACAACTGCAGACTGTTTGCTTTCTCAGTGTGTTTCTCCTCATATATATATATATTTATTTTCCTATATAGCACTGTTGTAGTGATTTGTCATTTATGCATTTTCATAAATAAATATTATGCTTTATTTAGTGCTTTATGATCCATAATAGTTTACTCTTAATCCACAATACTGGAGCTATTCCAGACTTGCAACTGAATATATATATATATTTTTACATATATATATATATATATATATATATATAAAACACATAAACTTGGAACATTTAACATACACGCTTTATGTAACCTATCAACCAGTATCTTAGATCCTTTTCTCTTGGACCGAAAAAAAAAGGCAAAAATTGCTCAGAAAACCAGCGACTGGCCCTTTCTCTTGCAACACACTGAGGGCAGGTGCCGGGGCATGGCATGCCTCATGTCTGCCAGCGGGCAAAGCACCCTCCAAAACATTTCTCAGGAGAGCCATGATAATTTAAAAAAAAAAAAAAAAATCTGTTTCAGGAAGGTAGAGGTGAAACACAACTAAACTCAGGAGGTAAGAGGCATCCCTGCTGTGTGACTGCTTACCTGGGACCTGCAGGGACCAGGCTCAGCGATCGACTGAGCCTAGTCCCAGCTGCTGCCAAAGTCAGCGGTCCCATCCGCTTCTTCCGAGCTGAGAAACCTTGGTTATACAGAGCTGTGCTGGCGTTTATGAAAAGGAGTGAAGCTAGAAACCCCATGGCTCCATTTGCTAAGACGAAAAAAGGTGAAGAGAGGCTGGGCTGTCCTCATTTTGGACCACAAATCTCGAAGCCAAGGCAGCCAAGGAGTGGAGCAAACTCTATTCTCAGCTTCAGAAGCATGCTATTTTTTAAGGATGGGAAAACCATCATCACCCCTCTTGGGGTCAGGATTTGGTGTACTATTTAACTCTCAGAGATTTTCTTTTTGTATTGCATTGCTTGGCAATTTTACGCAGGGAAACTGCACTGCAGAAGAAGCGCTCTAATTAACAAAAATCCTCTGATTAAGCCTTTTGACACCTATAATCATGGAGGTCTTGCTGGTTTTCTTGAACCTGCGCATTTTCTCTGTTAGCTTGAAAGTATAAAATGTTAATTTTTCCAGCTAGAAATACCTTTAGGGAGCTGTGAAACTAAACCCCAATTATATACCTACCTACCACAAATAAATCAGTTTTGTCCAAAAAGGGAAAAAAAAGAAGCATTACAGAAGTGCTGAGGCTAAATCCAGCATGGCAATTATTTCAGTTCTGAAATAGGCTTAGCATAATCAAAGCAGCATTTGTAAGGACTTATTTCAATATTAAGCTGAACACCATCTAGTGAAACAGGACATAGGCAGGCAAGAAAATTTTAAAAAATAAAATAAGGGTAAAAAAGGGTAAACCAGTAACTTCCACACAGCTCAGCTTTGATAATCTGATGAAGAACAGAACCTTTCCAAAGAAAACACTTCACAGGGAATATTTCACCTCTCATTTCCCCTTGTGTAGTATTAGCATTGCAGCAACTGCTGCAACCTCAGGAAGGAGGAACAAGGAAAGGCAGTAATTACATTTCCCATTGCTCTTCTCCCCTAAAAGCTTCTCTTGCTTCCTCTTGGGAACTACGATGTTACGCAGCCCCAGCTTGGCAGCCAAGCCTGTCACTACTGTGCGGTGGCTGCCAGAGGTATGGAGGCTCCTGGAAGGCCACCCAAAATAGTAATGCAGATGAAGCTTGAGCCACATTGTTAGGTGTCTCTCACTACAGCAGGAGAAGTGCTGGAGGCAGGTGCCCACTGCGCCCGCGGTGCCCAGCTCTCACCACCCGCATAAGTCTCATGCTCCTTCCCTGCCATTTCTTATGACCATGAGGCACCAGGTATCCTTACACTTAAAGAAAAATTATTACCACCCCAGAGATGGGCATTTTTGAGGTTTTTAACTTTCCCTTAAAAAAAGGAATACAGATTATTTTTTTTCCTCCACTGTGGTTGTAGATGGGTCCCTCACTTTTACACAAATGAAAGAGCAAGTTAATAATTCCTTCTCACAGGGAACTTCCTCTTACCCAGCAGTTGTTTATGTGTGTCACAGCAGTTTCAAATTCACCAGCAGATCCAAATATGTACTTCATTTCCACTCACACGCAAAGGTTTTTTTGCAGTGGGGGAAAAGAAAGAAAAAAAAGAAAAGCCAAGAAAAGGGGCACTTGTTTATCATCATGGCACTATCCCCATCAGATTTCCTGGAAACACAAAGAGCTTCTTCAAACAAGTCACACTAACCATATTCATATAGCTCCCAATTACCTTAAATGAAGGATGACCTTCCCTGGCATAGGCCACCCACACCAATGATGGCAAGGATGTAACTGGGCTCCATCTCTGTACTGTGAGAACCACTTGCACATGAAGGGTTATGGAAAGTTATCTCTACAAATAGGTGGCTTTTAAGACAGTCTCCATTACAGCTCCTCTGAGTTACACAGACTCACTCACCTTTTTTTTTTTTAATTGCTGGAGTGCAATAATCTTTTTATAAATGAAACAGTTGGTTTGCTTTCATTTTCAGCAGTTCCCTCCAAATTTTTTTAATGTAACAATATACATCTTTTTTACTTCTAACCAAAAGTTTTATTTTCATAAAATTTAAAGTAGTATCTTTTTTAAACAATCAAAATAATAATAATAACAATAATAATAATAAAATAATAAGTGGCTTTCATGGAAAGCAACATGCATAATCTTAAACCAGTTACTAAAACTGTATTTCCCCATGTAAACAAGGGCAGACAAGCCTCTTTCGATCTCGCATGTCAAAATTCGGGTGATTTTTGCAAAGGATAGTCTCTTCAAAACTTACAGCTGCTCTTAAGCATGATTCTGTTCAAGGTACTTATTAGTGAAGACTTTCAATACCTCTTCAGGACTTCTGCCTGCACAAGAAAGTCCGTTTCCATGGGCCTCCACAAGAGCTGTCTCTGGCAGTCAAAGCTTAATGTCCTGCGACTCTGACATTTTGGCAAGTGTTTTCTTGACCCGCAGGGCTGTGAGCCGGGAGGCAGGGTTGTGAGCCCAGCACTCCATCATCAGCTTCCCCATCTGCCGCAAGCACTGTGGAGAGAAGCAGGAGAGAAAGTCCCATCTGGATCAGTGGAAGAGGAGATTGCAGTTGTTGGCAATGCTGAAAAGCTGAAGGGAAAAGGTCTTTTCTAAGGGCAGATGAAAAAATACAACATGCTGGCTGATGGTGCCTTCCAAAAGCTTTTGTTTTCTGTATATTAAGGAGAGTTCTCCAAATATGAAAATTACTCTTATAATTTTTGACAAGCTATAGTCTAGACTTGGTTGTACACTCCATAAAAGCCCTTTTAATTTCCCCTTCCCCAAACCTGTGCAGTCTGATCTGCACAAGTGTGGCTCTGTACAGTGAGCCCTTTGCTGCACAAGTTTAGTGGAATTTGTTTTCCTCAGCCAGCAATCAATCTCTGGGTTCAGACCAGCACAAGCATGAAGCATGCAAGTACAGCTCCTGCCCAGCCATCTGTACTGTGAAGTCCCCTACAAGCACCCAGCTCAGCTCTACGCTGTCCTACTCCATCCCTTGCTCACTTCTGAAACATAGCCAGATCCTCCTCTGACTCCCAGCAACAACTCCCTTGCTGACAGCATCTCAGTATTGCCTTTGACATCCTGGAAAAGCAGCACATGTTCCTGTTCTGCCTCTACCACCTTCTTCCAAATATAACGCACCACATGAGCCAGCAGCCACGTGATGACCCCACAAGCCTATGGATTTGTGCTGCCTGAAGTACCTGCTTGCTACAATAGGAAAAGAGAAGTTTTCCATCTCATCCAACTTGCTCTCGGTTTTCATGAGACTTCTGGCTCAGAAGCAGTGCAGAGCCTGAAAGGCATTACACATAAACACCACCAGCAGTGCCCAGACTAGCTGAACACATTTCAGATTACTGTAGATTTTTATAAATGCATTTTTGGTAATACACAAGCACTGTGCAATAACAAATTTACCTCTTATTGCTGGAATGCCTGAAGAGGGATTACCGAGGACACTAACCAATTAATCAAGAACAACAAGCCTCCCCAGTCCTCAATATGTGTGGTGGCAGACCAAACACATACTGCATGCCACCCCACAAAAGCCCTTCCCAGGACTGCTACTAACAGAGCTTCCTCCAGTGTTTACAATCCCAGTCTGAAGACTCAAAGGGATTGGGCTAGGGAGAGGATGAGGCAGATGAGTTTTGGTTAGATCTTCCCACACTGGCTGTTGCACAAACCCTCAAGCCACCAAGAGAGGTTGCTTCATTTTTGCCTCCCATTCCCAAATTGCCTACATCTCACGCCCCCTAAATCTACCTGCAGAATATTCATCTACATGCTGCTCTTTCCAAACAGCAGCTGTCTTCTGTGACTGTAGAAAACTTTACAGCATTAAACCATACCAATTAACATGTTTAATGACCCCTCCTCCACAGCATCTCAAAGAGCCGCTGGCAGGTTTGCCAAGCAGTGGTACCTCAACTGTTCATCTCTGATCCCACAAGCACAACTTTGCTTTGTTACAGATGCTGAGAAGGGAGAGTTCAGATACTCCCCCACCCCTTTCACCTCCTGATTTTACAATGGAAAGCATTTTCTGCCTATTACATCTCCTTTGAAAGGCCACTTCTGTAGTCCTCTTTGCTAAAATGCAAATAGGTATATGAGCACTTTTTTCTGTAAGATGTAGAAGGGTGAGCAACTGGTGCCCCTCAGTGCAGCCCAGCTACTGTAGTCAGTGCTATTGGCCATCAATACCATAAGTGAAATGTAATATCTTGTGCTCATGTTAGCACAAAATCACAGTAAAATTATGTTTCCAAGCCTGCTCCCCTGTGATCACAGAAAAACTGTATGCTCATTTGATTTCAAAGAGACAGAAGACATTTTCTTCTTAAAAAAATAAAATAAAGGAAGAAGGTTGGAATTACAGTCCAAACATCAGTACACACTGAAGAGGCTGCTAGTACACCAAGTATGCTGCCACTTCATTACACAAAATAATTTCTCTTACAAAAGAGAAAGTTTTGGCTAGCCACTGAATTGATGCCTTTAATGCCAGGAGCAGAGAGCAAAATGAATGCAAGAAGCAAGCAGACAGACCACGAAGGTCTGACCACAGCCTGCTATCACTGTGGGATCTAGTAGACAGTACATGAGGAACCTGTTTGCAAATACGATAGGCTATGGCCCGTGGGGCTCTGAAACCTTCAGTGGGGCTCTCTGAGAAGGTCCTGTTCCTGCCCAAGCCCTGTTACACTGTGACAGCTGCTATCACCAGTGGTAAATGTCCTCCTCCCTCAAAATGATGCAGAATTGGGTCAGTCTCACTCACTCGCTCCGATTAAAAACACGGACTGTGTATTAAGAGGGACAATACCTCATCACTGCTCCATCTGTTGGGAAATGAGGGGCGTAGTCTCTTGATGCACACAATCTCCCGCATGTCCTCATACGAGGGGTCGCTGGGCACAAGGTCATGATATGGAAGCTGATATTCCTCTACTATTCCTGAAAGAATCAATTAGTTGCCCGTCACTTGCAGAAAACAACTTCCACTGCCCTCTTCCCCTCTCATTTTATAACAGATTGGCCATACCGTTTAACAATTAGATGTACTTCTCCTTAAAAGGATTTCCCTGCCCTAGGAGTTTATTCCACAGTCAAGTTCCAATGTAACCACTGCCATGAAAAGACTGGCCAGGTATCTTAATCCAAAAGTGTAGTTACTTGCCAAATGAGACAGTTTCCACCACTGCTGTTCAGTCCAGCAATCTCCATGAGGTTGTCACAGAAAGAGCTATTAATATAGGTTCTGTATCAGAGTAATTTGACAGAGTTAGGTCTCTTTCTTATCAGAGGACCTGGAATATATTAAAGGGCATTCTGTGCCCTTTCAGAACATAGAAAGGTACCATCCTTTGTGCACAGCAACAATGACAAAAATATTACAGCTTTAACATCACATCACTGCAATACACTTCACCAGGTTTTAAACACAGGGATCATGCTGCTGATCAGTGACATTCAGCTCCTGTAGGGTAAGCACTCAGCACAATATTGCAGGTTGTAAAGACTCATAAAGCATAGTGAAGGTAGTGGAGACCCAAGAGAGACATGCTCTACTCTTGTCACCAAACTGGCACGTAATTGCTGCCAGGTCATTTCTCTGCATTTAACTTTCTCAGTGACAAAGGAGAGGTAATAACACCCATCATTTCTGCACTACACTAAGCTCTATGTGCAGAAAGCACACGTAGCTTATGCGTACAAGGATGGATCTATGCCTTGAGTCTGCAGCTGGCTGCATTGCTTTGTCTTTGCTGTCCTCACACTTCATCTCCTGATATCAGAAAGCAATTAAAATGGACATCACTGGTATGACAGAGATGTAATAAGTACCACTTCCCTCTGTTTTTTTTCCTACTTGTCTTGTAAACATTCTTTATTTCAAATAGCAGCACAGCAAACCCCAAATTGTTTGTTCTCCTCCTTTTATATAACTCTAACAAAACAAATAAATCACTATTTTCTTTCTACTAAATTAGCTAGCACACCCAGTCCAGCAGAAACATGATGCCTTTGGAAAAGGCCCCCAAATGAGTTCCATAATTCTTCAATGCAGGCATCTGCTGCCTTCAAAGAAGCCATTAAAATATAGTCTAAATCTCTGCTGTTGAAATAGCACTGACTCATATTTTAAGTTTCAACAAGAGAACAGATATTAAGAGAGTTACCTGTATGTTTTATCCACATTTGTTTATTACTGTAAAAACAATAACCCAGAGAAAAAGATGTAATGGAAGATTTGAGGTTCACTGACACAATTAAAAGCAATCTCCCAGCTCTTTACCTCCTGAAACACATCTCCTTGCTATCTCCCAGAGGATGAGTCCAAAACTGTACATATCAGCCATGATATACGACTGAAAGTGATTTCTATTCAAGCTTTCATCCAGCACCTCAGGAGGCATATAACGTTTTGTTCCTACTCGGGTATTTGGAGGGATGTCTACCTCATTTGTATCACTAAAAGAAAAGGAGGAGAAAAAAAGGGCATCAGACATGCAACAAAGTGGCTTGAAAAGAAAGCAATTTAGATGGGAGATGTAGTACATTCACACCACATCCACTCTCAAAAAAGGTCAAAAGTAATGCATAATCTTAATGGAACAATTTTTGCAAGAAAAGCCTCTTAGTGTGAAGGCAATCCTCCTTAAAAGGCTGACCTGCCTGAGGCTATGTTAAGCATTCAAATGCAGAACCACAATGGAGATAAGACTCAACAGGGATGCTGTAACATTTGTGAGATTTCATTAGCATTAGCCCAAGCTCTAATGTTAGTGATAACAATCAAATCTTCATTAAATGCTGTTTTCCTAACATACTCCACCACCTAATGCTTTAGCCTTAGCAATTAATGGAGGATACTAAATAGCACAGTATCACTTAGTGTTAGCACATCAGATCTGTGAGGAAGACGGATCTAATTGTTACTTTCTGCATGTATTATCTTTGATCTCTTCCAACCTTTACACATCAAGATATGTAGACACAGAGATATAAACGTGTAAAAAATTCTAAGCAAATGTGTCACACCTCACACAGTGACCAGAAGAGACAAGATTTCTCTAATGGGAAACAAATTCCCATTAGTTATGTGAATGGAAGCTTTTTTTTCTTATTAACTCAGATTTGGCTGTATCAGTTTTAATGTTTTTAGAAGTTTATTATACAGCATATATTTTGGTTTGCTTAAAAAGATCTGTTTTCCTTTCCCCACCTCCAAAATGTACATATTTTAAATGTGATGGATACAACAAAAGCTCACAGAATAATTATACTCCTGTAATTGTCTTCACGTACAGCAATTTTTTTTTCACCTACTGTTATGAAAATGACAAAAAAAAAAAGCACAGTCTGAGGTACAACCAGTCATCTACACAGTCCTCAAATTATATATATGCTGGTGACACTTCTGTACACCCCAAAGAATGTAACAGAAATCCAGCGACCTGCACCATTTTGCAATATTTCAAATTAAATGAGAAATACAAAGAACTTTACTAGAATTATTAGCTTCAGCAGAGCACACCCCTTTCAACTATTTCCTGTTCTTGCCTGAAAAATGCTGCCTGAGGAAGGATTCAGTATGAAAACAAGCCAAGTACATAACGTAAATTCCATTTGGACTGTGACAAATGCATGTTTCACCTTCTTTAATAACAACACTTGGTAGTTCCTAGTTCTTCGTTCATAGCTAAGCAGTGTGCTGCTCTGTATTTTCCAGGCAAGGTATGCCTGCAAAGTGTGAAACTTTTTAACAGTATATTTTCAAGTTGTTGTTTTCTAGGCCTCTGTTCCTCAAAGTAAAAATAATCCTTTCTTGTGTCCTAAAGAAAGGTCAGGTTCAGAAAGGAAAAGCCTCACCAAGAAATGTGGTGGGTAAGTGAATGGTAAGAAGAGCACATAAAAACTGCCTTTCACTCTGAATAATTTCAGTTCAAGATTTGTATAGAATTCTTAATTTTTTTTTTTTAATACTTCAGGGAGTGCACAGTTTCAAAGCTGACTCCTGAAACTGAAACCCTCAGTCTATGTATTCTGGACACATTTCTGTGTACAGAAAAATCAGAGATTTTGGAACACACATCTCCACCACCAGGACCACCACCGAGAGCTCAAACCCCTTTTGAACAGAGCTGTCAGAGAGCAATGTCTCCTTATGAATCCCAGGAGTGAGTAAAGTTCTACTTGTCTGCTCCTTTCTAAGTTGTTTAAACACACAACCATTTTTTTAAATCAAATTTAAAAGCCATTTCAAAAATCAAATCTGTACTTCGGCAATTTGATTTGTAGGAAATGAAACAAAAGGCAGCCCAAATGGGGTCCTTTTCAATAAATCCCAGTTAGTAACTTGTGCAAATGATTAGTATTTTTCTATATAAGTTGTGAGTGAATTTTCATTCACTCTCATTTTCATTCATTCTCACCCACACTGATAACCTCACACACAGATGAGCAGAGCCCAAAAAGTATGCACATACACTGCAGGAGCATGCTCACATGTGCATGCTCACTCAGTCAACAACTAAGACAGCATTTGCATCTGGTTTACTAACTTTTCCTCAGCCTCCTCACTTCTACTCACCTGATAAATTTAACAGCCAAGCCCAAATCTGCTATACAGCAGGTGCCATTCTTTTTCACCAGGATATTCTTACTTTTTAGGTCACGATGGGCAATAGCAGGTTTGCCCTGAGTACTGAAGATCTCAGTGTGCAAGTGGCACAAACCACTAACAGAGGAGTAAGCCAGTTTCAGCATGGCTTTTGTGTCCAAAGTAGTAGATTTTAGATAATCATAAAGTGAGCCATTCTCATGGTAGTCAGTGATAAGATACAGCTGGGTCCAAGATCCTGTACCTTTAATGTCTGCAGCAATGAATCCTTCAAAAAAAAAAAGATATTTTCACATTAGTACATCTCATAGCTTTTTTTTTTTTTTGACTGCTCAGAACTCTGGACTGTCATCCACTTCAATAGATTTATTTTGGTAACATTTAATTTCTTTCATCTTACTTACATGCAACTATGTGTCACCTCTAACCTTTAATGTATTTTCAGAAAGCCCAGATATGGAAATACTGGTGGCTGAAGTAGACGTGCTGCGTTTAGAGTAAAAACCCCTAAACCCCATTATTTTTTAACTTTTATTTATGTTTCACTAATCCTTGAAACAACTTTCCTTTGAAAAGTGCTGGGTGGCTAATTGCAGAGCACAGCAGGTAACAAAGCACATCGGAAAGGACATCAGATAACAGCAAATACAAAATTACTAAACTCAAGAAACCTGTACACTATCAAAAAATTCTCTTTAATTTCACTCACCAAGAATATTTTCATGTCTCATTAGGACGGTCTGGTAGATTTCTGTTTCTCGGAACCAGCTGGCCTCCTCTGTGGTAAAAAACACTTTCACAGCTACCTTTTCACCACGCCACTTTCCCATCCAGACTTCTCCATAGCGACCTTTTCCAATCTGCTTCACCATTTGAATCTGTTTTGCGATGGTCCTTTGAACCTGTGAAATGCCAAGACAGATGCTTACACTTTGCTCAGTGTAAATCTCTGCATTCACCTCCCTCCTTCTGTGTCTCTTTCCCACGAAGCCAGTCCCAAGGAAAGTGGAATACACAGCCATTGTATGACGGATTTCAGCAATGCTCCACAACTGCAGATGCTCCCCATTTTCTCCAGGATGCAGTGCTGGTAAGTACACTGTGAAGAAGCCTTTCCATGCATGCTCAAAATGCACTGTGGCTTCTGAAGAAACTAAATCAACCTGTGACTGTGAACCTTGATTTTTTTTATTTTCCTGTGGGATGTTGCCACTTTGTGGAATATTTTTTGTTATTTTTGGAAAAGTTTTGACAGCAAACACTCCTGTTAATCTCAATGTTACCCAAATTCCAAAGGGGTAGGTAACACATTTTGATTAAAATGGGGATATTTCTTATATATTCAACACTGCTGAGACTGAAGGCTAGGGCTCACAAGAGTCAAAAGCGTACTAGCGCTCCAAAACTAGCAAAATTACTGATAGCAGCTTCCTATCACCTATCCTTGAAAATGCCAAGCCTAATAACTTCAAAATATACATTTGGTGTTAGGAACCACTACTTACAGAGTTAGGACCCACGTGCCTACAAGTATTTTAATATTCATAATTACATATCAATAAAAAGCAATTTTCCCCCCAAATATTTAGAAGACAGCTTTCTAGTGTCTGTGCCAGCTTTGTCAGTGCCTGTACTGAGAGCTGTGCCTGTACTGTGAGCTAATGCTAAAGTCAGCTGTAGTGCAAGATCAATGTACATGGTGGAAGCATTGCAGAGGCACTCTTCATAAGGATGACAGACCCTGTGTCTACATTTAACAAGCTTTTATAACCATAAAAAATCTTGGACAAATGTGGACTAATATTCTCATCAGATTGGAACATATCTGCAGATCATATATTTCTAAAAGTTCACAAAAAAACCAGGAGTAGATGCTGCAACATGACCCACTGGTGTTCGTGGCTGACTCAGCCTCTCCCTAATACAAGAGGAGATTCACCCTCTTGTGCTACAGCATTGCCAGTTCAATCCACAGCTGATGATTTTTGGTTTGGCAGGATTTTAAAGATTTTGAAAGAAAATAATTTTATCGTTTCCCATGCAAAGTCCAAGCAACTGGCAAAATCTGAACAAGTTCAAATTTGTGGTCTCTCGCTCGGTTTTGCCACCACCCAGATACAAATCTCAAGCAGTTTATTGCAGCAAGTATGCACTAACTGAATCCCTATGAAATCATATGCATTACATGTAATCCAAAATATTTTTGGAATCTTGGCTGACAGAAATGAGCAAAACTTGATTTTTAGAATCATTTGCTTCCTTTGTTATGCCTGGGAGGTTTAGTGGAAACTACCAGTTTGGTAATGCTGAGCAGGACTGCCACAATCCCACTGCAGCATGAACATATGTCCAAACATGAACTCAAAACCTACTAGGTAAGGTCTATCTATAATCATTCATTTTGTAAAAAACCCACTGGTTTTCATAATAGACAATTTTAAGAAGCAAAACATACAGTGGCATTTATGCAAAGCCATTTCGAATGTCCCAGCTTTCTTTTTCTGTCATTTAAACAGAATTCCATTTTTCCAGCCCTGCAATGTATTATTAGACTTCCAAGATGGTAGCTTCAATGCCATTATTTTTGATTAACATCAGTGAAAGCCAAGAACAGAGATTAGCCTGAATTTTTTAAATTGATTTATTCTCTTTTATACTCTCATATAGTGATTGAACAACAGTTATATTACATTGGAATTTTGCTGTAACATTTTGTAATGTCATTTTAGCATTGTTGCTTTCTATTTTGCCCATTTTAAAAATGCATCCTGAACAATAATGTAGTTATATCAAATAACTTAATTTGTGTAAATATATGTAATGGCATCATAAAGTACATGGAATTACAATACTTAATGATGAAAAGTTCCTTATTAAATTACATTAAGAAAATGAAAAACACATTTCTGTTATGGGTTTTCAGGCGGCAGAATACTATGTGAAGGGCCTTAACCTAGTTTCCTCTTGCTAGAACTGGTCAAATGATTTCCTATGAACAATTTATTTTATTTTAAGGAATTTAGTCTTTTCTTGTATCGTAAACCAATTAGGATTTCTAAAACAAATAGGTTAATCAAAATTGTTGGATGAACTGATTTCATAAGTATGCTGAATGATGTGTTGATGTGAATTATTTATGCTGAGTGGGGCAGAATTTTTTTATTTCTTTTTAAATTTGTATATTTTGTTGCTTGAGCTCTGTTAGCAGCCAGGTAAAGTTACATGGCCTTTTCTTTCCTCTCCCCAAGTGGAATCAATCCAATTACCAGCTCTTTCTATTTTTCTGGCATTTAGCTAAATGTGTTCAGCTACTGCAGACGAAAATTTAGACAAACTAACTTTTTGTAACTTCAATATTTTGAACAGAGAACTTCATACCTATGGCTGGGGTGCAGTCCCTTGAAAAGCAAAGCTCATGGGAAGGGGAATAGGAAAAAAAATGCATGAAAATGTAGAGACCAAACTGTAATTCAGCAAACTCTTCAGACAGACCACTGAAATAAATGTCCCCAACATCTAATCTCCTTCCCCTGTTTTGCATGTGAATTCATGGTAGGCAACAACTTTGCCTACACTTGTCAAGGCCAATGGGGTTCTCCTTGTTTGCACAGACTTGCACAGATCCCAGTTTGTTGGTCCAAAGCCTTTATTACTTATTTTTTCTTGGTTTAAAGTTTGATTTGCAGCATTTGACCTGCAACAAACTCTTCTGTCAGAGGTACAAACAGGTCAGGAGAAAGAATGCTTTCTAAATGTCATCGTATTGACAAAATCTTGGCTAATGTTTGTTTTGGGTATAATATTTGTACCCATTAGAATAAATGCTCCGCACTGAAGAAAAACATTACTGTTTAGCATAAAGTGACATTTTGTAATAAATTTGCATCTCATTTTCCCAAAAGTATAACCCTGGATGTTTCAGTCTTTGCATAAGAAACAGAGTTAAAAAGAAACTCTTGCACAATAAAGTCTAGAGCATTATTGCCAGGGGTTTTCTTTATACTTGTTTCAGGCATGGGACCATCTGTGCATTTATGGGGAAGATGTAGTAGCTGTAGCTGTCTGGGAAATGCAGCAAACATCTATTACCAAGTGCAAGATTCATTATAGCGCTCATTTAATTTCTCTTCCACACAAAATCACTACTTGAGAAAGTCTGGGGGGAAAAAAGTGTGTGTTTTTTGTAGGCAAAGGAGGAGCAGGGGAAGAGTGTCTTGAGAAAAAACACTTGGTCCACTGGCTGCAAACTTTCCAGGTTTGAGGGGTGGACTGACAGAAGACTAGATGGCTCCTGCTTCATGGAGCAGCAGCACAGGTCTGAGAGCTACTGTGCAATGACTCAGCTGGGATGTGCCACCTTGGCCATTACAGCAGTTAATTAGCAGAAGTTAGTTTTCCTGTCCACTGCAAGAGCAGACCTGGGGACACAAATGAGGCCGTACATCCCACCTTCAAATAGTTCACTGGGACAGAGGAAGGCATAAAGAACAAGCATTGTCATAACCAACCATAACCAGCATTGTGCCAGCTTTTTTGGGATCCTGGGATGAAGTACTGAGCTATTCACTGTTATGAGATGCCCCAGGGCAGCTGCTACCCACATGAGCTGCTGGAAACATATCCTCTCAGAGAAAAACCACCTAGTTCCTTATATTTACTCAAAATTATTACATTTTTGCTGTCATTGTAACAAGTAGGAGCATCAAGTGCAGACCAAGACCTTAATGTGGCAAGTGTTATGCAAAAAACCCAAAGCAAACAAAGGAAGAATCCCTCACAATTAAATCACTTGGAAGCACTTGTTAGGAATAGTTCTAAACTGTACATAGGATCCCTCCCTTTCCATGGGTGGAAATATCCCATATCCCATTAGTATAGGATATGACAAAGCTTTCTTAAAGCCTAGAAGAAACTCAGCCTTGTTTCATTTTTAAGGAAATATAAAACTTCCCATTTAATTTCTTCTTTAGGGTGTATAAAAAAGATGTGTGGGAAAAAAAAGAGACAGTACTTGCAAACTGGACAACACCTACCGTAATATCATCACTACAAACTAATAGGTTTGGGAGACAGGAAGGACATATCATCTCTGAAAAATTAAAATGAAATCTAATTCATTTTCTCAGAAGCAGTATTTTAAATAAGTAACCTGGCTTTCTTACCATTGCTAAAAAGCAATGATGATCCCCAGAAACAAAACCCCCTGGAGAACAGAACTGTTTTGCCACAGAAGGTTTTGCCTTTTCAGCAGGCTTATTAGTCATGGAGTCCGTTCAGAAATAATCACAAACTCCATACCTGTGCTTTTAATGTTTGAGACTGCCACACTACAGGGAAAAAAATACCTCTTGACTTCTGAATGCAAAGTGAAGCCTACAAATAAATAGGTTCCGAGTTTGATGAGCTACAGTTCCCTTCAGATAAAGACAATGTGTCACTGTTTGAAACCCAATGTGTGGTGCACATACAAAGTAGGAAAACAAGATCAGTGGGCCAGATGCTGTCCTGTACACTGGGGTAAATGCTGATGAAATTCCATGAGTTCCCTTGGCTTGTACTTACCCTATGGTATCTAGAATAAGAAATGGGATGAGGTAGGAAAATAACCCTAAGCTTTTTTTGGCTTGGTCTACATGAAAAAAAGTCTCCTGCTTCTAAAGCAGCTTAAATCCTTGTCATTTCTGGGAGAGAAAAAAACCAAAACACTAAAACAACAACCGAGGACATGTAAATATAATTTCTTGTGCTTCGTCTCCCTCTACTCATTTTTGCCTTTGAAACTTGCATTAAAATAGTGTTGCTTCCTTACCAGGAGAGGGAGCCCAGAGCCACTCCCTGAGCTCTGGGACTGCTCGATCAAATCTTTCAGGGACTCTCCAGGGGGAATGTAGGTCTCGTCCTGCTCCAGCCCAATGCTGTAGTGGTGCCTCGTCTCTTGGCGTTTGTATCTGATGTTTAACATGAAAGCAAAATTAGTTTTGAATACAATGAACAATGTGCAATGAATAATGTACATCGTCCTTCATATTTCCTTCATTTATAGACTAACAGCTTTCTCTGCTTCCTTGAGGAATATGCTGGACTCACTGGCCAAAATTTTCTATTTTATTTTTAGTAACTGTTTTCAGCATAAAAACTTTTAAGTGTAACACTCAAAGACCGTGCAATCTGGGGTAAGCAACCAAATGCTTTCCTTTCAGAAACTTGAATATGACTAAAACACAGATCAAATAAATAATCAGTTTTATTTTACTGTCTGCAGTGGACTTTTAAGAGCCAGAGGAGGCAAAGTCATGGAATCTTGGACTGTTTAAAAAATGTGACAAATTATTAAAACCATGTATATTATGATAACGTTCTAGAAACATTTACTTACATTCCTGTATTGCCCTCTTTTTTATGGACACCTCTTCACCACATAAACACATTTAGAAGTCTTAGGTTTATTTACCCTATATAAAATTTGTCCTTTGGCCTTCTTAAACTCAGTAGAGAATAATCTGTGCTTCAACCTAAACAGCTTTGTAGGATGTTAGGCAAAAGACTCTATATGAACTGCATCACATAGTTATACCTGTGACTAGCATGAATAAAATACACATTATTTTCTCACTATAAAATTACAGTTTCACATTTCTTTTCCTTTAGGTCCACTTCTATTTTTTTCAAATTCCTAAGTCTATAAAAAGATAAACGTTGGGAGGAACATTAACCAAGTGCCAAATTATTCCTTATTTACCTGAAGTAGCAGAATATAATGATAAGCACCAGAAGTATACTGCAAACAGTCACTGAGATCAGCAGGGCCTTATGGTGGATGTTTGCTTCAGCAAAGTCTGGGGTTAAAAACAAGAAAGGTAGAAAATTCAGAAAGGGAGGTGGTAAGAAGTCAGTCTCAAAAGACACACCCTTAAAAAGTATGTTGAGCACAAGATCGTTTCCATTCTTTTCTAATGAAGTCCTGTGCAAGATACCCCTAGACTCCCCAGGCATTTTGTGTGCTTTCTGTTTGACCCTCACTGACCATGGCAGAACTGGCACCTCCAAAAGCCTATTTGATTTTTCAGCTCTCACTCAGGCAAAACATCGCCTTGATTTGCAATTCCCTTTTTGGGTCTGAATGAAAAAATCAGTCAAGACCTGTAACTCTGTGTCTTAACTTGACTGTTTATCTTAAAACACTCATATTAAGTAGCATCCTATTGAGTAGTTAACATTAAAAAAAAAAACAACAACCAAACAAACAGAAAAACCGCACAACAAAACTCCATTTATCCTAGAAGGGAAGACACATCAGACCATTCAAACCCTCAAGAAGGCAGGTCACAAGACATCTTGAAAGTATATTTCCCTCATTACAGAATAATCCTTCTCTTGGATCCTGTTTTAAACACCTGAACAGGAATTTTCTCCTCCATTCACTTTACAGCAGCCCTGTGTGCCAGCAAGTCCTTCCCATGTTTGTGGGTAAAACTATTCTTACAGCAGCTATTCTGTAAAGCACTCTGAAAATGAAACGTGTCAAGTAACTTGTAGAAAATTCTGTTACATAAAAACTATTAAAACATTTCAGTCAATCTGGGCATGTGAAACTCATATTCTCCTTTAAAGTACAATATTGATCTCCAAACTTGTATTCTCAGCTCAGGCAAGCAAGTCTGACCTTCATTCATGTTTCTCTGCTGAAAAACAAAGAAACCTAGCAGTATGCTTTTTCAACCTCCCCTACTACCCAAACTCTCAAAACTACAGTATTTCAGCATGTATCTACGTGCCACCCTCCCAAAGTTGCTATCTGGTATAACGCAAATGAGGACCATGGTTTCTGAAGCTCTTCCAGCCTTGCTGTCTTGCATCCTTCACTCTAATGCCTGACACATCATAGAATGCAAGAAATCTATCCTTATTGACTTGTCCTGGAACAATGTTATTATGTTTCAGATTTACAAGGGTAATGAGACCAGGAGATTCCTAAGGGACTCTTAGTTTACTGTCAGACTCTTTTTATTTTAAAGATCCAGTTTCTCCTTCTTTTTTCGCTCCCAAACTATTTCTTCCCTTCCCCGTTCCATTACAAATAGAGATTACCTACCAAGTCACCTTTTGATCACACTGGTCATGTTTTAACCTGCCATTACCTGCTCCGGGAGCATTAACAATGTAAACATTCAAGACACAGCTGATACCTTTGAAAGGGGACACTGACACAATGCCTATCAGGAAAACACTCAAGCCCATCATTCTCCCTGCCACAGCAGATTTATCCCTGGCCTGCCACTCCAAGTGGGCTGTGAGTCGAAACCGAGAGCCCACCGGGGAATCCAGACCTCTCCCGTGAAAGCGATGGCTGTTCGGCAGGGCTGAGGGCTCCAGTTTGTGCTTTGTAAGCAGCCTGTGTCAGCCACCATTCCCCTCTAAAATGTGTGGTTTGTAGCAGTTTAAGATGCCTCAGCCCATCAGCTGAAGAGAAGATAAACAGAGCACAGAGACCATACAGTGGCATTTTATACCTGGGAGAAACCTGGATATCTGTCCACAGCAAGGGTTTTCCTACTTCACAGAGTAAGACATCATGGAAGCTGGGGTTTTGTGCTTAGCAGTAATGAAAGCTGACATCAGATGCAGAGGGAGCAATTCAGATCTTTCTCATACTTGTGTATGCTAGACGGTAAAGCCATGGAAATCCGTGCCTTTATACAGGCACAAAGTGTTGCACATGAACCTGTTCATGCTGTCTGTGTGTGCATGAGTATATACATTTGGAGAGGGAAGATAAAGATGCTGAAATCTTTAATCAAATTCCGGTAATTTTTAGTGTTTAAGTGATCCAAACATTGTGCTCAATGTTTCTAATGGGCTTCTGCCATTCAGAAAAGTAAATAAATGCAGTTTTGGTTTACCCAGAGGCCAGAGGGCATTTTGGAAGTGCTGTTTAACTCTCAGATCAACTTCAGACTCCAACACTGCAAAATTCTTTTGGTACCCAAATGCAATTACGCGAAGCATGTGCAAGGAAAGCATGCACGACATAAAGGAACACGTCCTGATCTCCTTGCTGGGAGTGGCTGCTGCAGAATGCAGCAGCACCAACGCACTTATGCTCTTGCAGTGGGTGATGTCCCCCATGCCAGCAGTGTCAGTTGACATAGCTTTCGTAGTGGTTCACTCTGCACAGCACAGGCATGCAACTAGCTCTCACAGGAGGAGAGAATAAGTTCCATATGTCTTTATATTTATTTGGCTACATATGATGAGAGGCAATACTGATGATAAGCGAGCTATTGTCTCACCTCTCAAACACTTCCTGCATTTTTAAAGCATTTTGGCAGAATTTGATTTGCTTGCTCACTTGAGGACTTCAAAAACCTGCTGGCATGTGGACAACACAAGATTAAATGCATGCCCTCATCCTTACACCAGCAATGTCTATTTGTTCTGCTGCACTGAACCAGGCTGGTGCTGCTGGAGATCAACTCTTTCCTCCTCCTCCAGCCCACGTCGTTCTCCCCAGAGCTGCAGGACAAACCTCCCTTTCCCTGCACAATTTTTGGCACCTCCTTGACCAGGTGGAAGGATGGGGAAGCTCAGCTGTGAGTCTGCTTAATGACTGGCTTGTGGGCTCTGTGGTGAAGACTGCGGTGGGTCCCGGTCGGTGCCAGTTTATGTGCTGGAGATACTCTGTCCTTCAAGAAGTCCAGCACCGTGCTTTTTAGTGTTATGTTACTTGGTAACTGCAAGGTGCCAAGCAGCAGTTATGAGAATAAGCAGTAGCTTCCATGGAGGCAGCAGTGAGCGATTACCAGGAGCATGGTGTGGGGAGCACAAAACAAACACTTTGGGAAGCCTCTTCACATACCCTGGCTGGCTGATAATAGCAAAGCCCAGCAAATAGCACGTTAATAGTTTCATGTAGTATGAAAACAGCGGTGCATGCTGGTGTCAGTGGTGAGCTCAGTGATACCAAGTTGCCTCTCAGTTATTCTCCAATGATTTCCCCCTCCTCCACCACTCGTTTCCCTCACTGCCATCCCTGGGACCATGCTGAGGAGTGCACTGAAAATGCCACCCAGCAGGTTCAAGGGAGAAGTCAGCATATCAAAGGGAGAGGAGGTTCGCTTCCCTCCCAGGTCCCTTCAGTTCACAATGTTACAGTTATCCAAGTAAAAACGGCAGTGAAATCCGAGGCGTGGAGACTGTGTGCACACATCAAACCCCATCATTCCTCCAATCATTCCCTTGCCCATTCATCATTAGCTATACAGGCAGGGAGCCAGACACGGTGGCACCACCACTTCTGCTTATATAGGCTCTAAATCAGTAAAGACATATTTCTCCTTTTGACTGGTCTCAGTCTGCGCTTTTGCTGGGATTTCCAGGAATATCTTTTATTGTTTAAAGCAAAGGTGTTATATCAGACCCAATTATGATTTTCATTTCCTTATTAAGACAGATGTATATCTGGAACAAGGACTTAGTGGTTTCTCTGGGGTATTTTATCCTGCTAGTTCTGTACCGAGATGAGCTCAAAACTTACACTTAGCTGTTACTTCCATCTTGCTTAACAAGTCTTGCTTTGACCAGCGTTAATTCTTCTAGCTCTCATTTTCATGTCTGTGGTCCTCCTTTCTTTTCTGGGGGGCTAGGGGATGTGGGGTGTAGGAGGATGAGTGTGGCATAAACCTCGCTTTCCAGCACATGCCAGGTCTGGAAAAGCACTTTGAGAACACAAGTTGCTTGCCTTTGTAGATATTACCTTGGTGCATAGGTCAATTTGCAGTTCAACAACCTCTGACCTGCAGCTGCATGATCTCCCTAGACTTTGTCTCCCATGAGATGTCACCTTGGACATGAGTTCATCAGAAGCCAACTTTCTGTTTGTTTTTTATTTCTAAAGGAGCATACATATGGAATCCTGAAGGCCAAAAGTTTGTTCCTAGAAGCTTTTTTTAGTTCATCTTTCTTTCTTTGTACTTATAGTTTATGTTAAATTTGATATGCAATTCTAACAGTACTCAGACAATCACACTCCCCAGCACCACATTTACTATCACAGCATCTTATGTATCTCAGAACATCTGTGAAGGCAAGAAGCCTGGACAGACCACATGCTCCTTAGCACATTTTTTACTAATGTTTCCAGTAGATAAAATGATCACAGCCATAGTACTGGGCACTGGCAGTAGCATGTATTTATACACAGTATTTGTGCCTAGTTGCAGTGAGGATCTACAGTTCTAACTGGCTTTTTTTTCTGAGGTTTCATATTAGGATACACCAGCAACAAATTAAAACAGGCCTGGCACCAAGAATGACATATTTACTTAAGGCCTTAATAAAGGTGCTGACTTCAGCCCTGTTCAGCCACATTTAATGGAGCAGCTCTTGAAACGTATTTTTGCAATACACTGACAGGATACTGGTAGTGTGAGAGTTTATTTCAAACAAAAATCTTCATAATATTTTGAGTGAGTACATTGCCTTTTGTTTGTCATGCTAAAATAGACAACTTTGCAACATAGAACAGCTAGAACCCTGCTCCAACTCCCTGATATTTTTTTTTAACAAATATTCTCTCTGCTATTTAATGGGTCTGCCACCATGGTGCCCAAGTGATACTTTATTTACCCCATATATACAAAGAACAAATCCAACATCAGTCTAAACACCTTCTGCCACTACCAAAAGCTTGTTTTATTGCTTTCTGTATAAGCAGCAGAGACCATTGCCAAATAACTAAAATCTCAAAAAGGTGGATGTCTAGTGTTAGGCCCTGGTTCAGTATTTTTAAGTAGTTTTAATGTAGAATAAACTCAGCAGTAAGAAGAAATCATGGCAGTGTTTTCCAAATTGATATTTAATGAAAGACCAAGTAAGTGTGAACAAATATTGACTTCTTTTTGGAGCTTCTCTCTCAGTCCAAATAACTTTATAAAATTAAATAAACCAACAAAGTAGTACATTACTCTTCTGTTGGAAGTCAGAATTTTATGAGGTTTCGCTGCCTTAATGGCAAGCTAGTAAACAGTGAAGTATTTACATACTACTCTCCACAGGCTTGATTTTGCAGCCCATCTGCGCAGAGTTTCACAGGCATGAAGGGAACAGCTTACATGAGTGAAAGGCTTTCTCCAAGCATGCATTTGTGTAAGTATCTGCTGTTTGTGTAACTAAGAGTGCATCTGCACACTGATCTGGATTTTCAACACAGAATGCCACGACTATAAATTCTTCTGCAACTTTGAAGTGACTCAATGCTGAGCACCGATTCCTGCCAATGCCAATTCATCATGGATGAGTTTACACTTACTTAAGCATACCTTTCTATAAAGTGTATTCTGCAACATCCAGACAAAAGTAACTTTACAAACTTTCAGAAAGTGATGTTTAAACAAACAAATAAAAATGCTAAAACCTTTCCCCAGCATTTACCAATACATGTCCATTTGCTCTCAAATAACAAATTAAAAAAACCCACAACAAACAGTGCATGAGTTCTTACCCTACATTCTATTTTCAGCTACATTTTTCAAGTCAAAAATGCAGTGTAGTGACTTGTTATTGTCCTAGGGCTGGTGTCAGGTCTTTTAAAGAAGAAAAGCTTAATGGACTACAGTCAGCTTGAACTGACCAATTAACCACTGCAGACCTGGTCCCAGATACGTGTAGAGTTATGAAGGACAGTAATGCACGTTGCAGGGACTAGAGAGAGGATTCAATTTGACTGTCAGGCTAAAAACACACACAGTCAGAGGCATCCTCTGCCATGACTAACATCGAGGGAGAGGATCATCCCACGTCTTTGGGATGATCACTGATAGCTAGCAGGTCTGTGCTAGGACAAAATCGTGCAACTCTAAAGCACCTGGTGTTCACTGCATGTGTGCCGTGGGAATAAGAGCAAGGATCAGCAATTACGGGCCAAGACACTGCTCCGCACACGGCTACAGAAATGCAGCGATACTATTTAATGCCATTTATCTCTCTAATCATGGGAATTTGGACAGGGCTGCTTCAGTTTTGACTATTTCTTCCTAAGGTACAAAAGAGCAACAGCAGGAAAAGATCAGTTTAGGACTGGATTTTGTTCTCCTTATTTCCCCCTTACCTCGATTCTTCAGTGGTGGCAGTGTAGGGTGAAGGTGTTTGTTACAATAATCTTGGCCTGTGCAACATTCAATAGATCTTCTTTGGTGTGGAATAGGAGTGTCCTAAAACAAACAATTTGATAGAAAGCAATTCATTACCTGTGTTGTAAATATATAGTCATTCTGGCACTTGAGAGAAAGATGTGCTTACTAGCTGGACTGCAATCTGCTACAGATTTCTAGGATGTGTGGAGTAAGGATTTCTGCCACCCAGTGTATCCAGCAATATTTCATCTAGACAATTAAGAGATTAACTCATTCCTAACTTATGTCTGTTGGTGCCCTAGTGCTGCAGAATGACTCTAATGGTGCAAGTCAGAACTGAAAGTCACACACATCCATCAGTTAGGCTTACATTGCAATAATGAGTTATTGTGGGTATCCAAAACAGTTTAGCCAGAATAATACAGGAATTGCTGTGTGGACTAATTTAACTGCTGATTCTGGTCTCATGGGAAGCTGGGTAAAATACCTTCCATGGGCCTTAATGATTAGATCATTCCTATACTCATATGAAACCATTTAAGGTTAACATGAGGAAAGACAAACACTTTAGAGCCACCTTGCTCCACTGCCCATACCCCTTCCATTCCTGCAGACAGTCTTCCATCAGATGATCACTGTACTTGAAGGGAATTTCTGGCACCAAAAATCCAAAACCAAAGTGTAACTGCATATAAGACATAAAAGTTGCTGCAGTCTATCAAATGATATCTAGCTAACTTCAGCTACCACGGAGACTTCAGGAGTTAGAGGAAGTTTGTATTTAAAGAAATGCAGTCTGAGTGGGAGTGTTACTAGTAACAGCAGTGCCAAAACCAAAAGCATAAGTTGTTGTCAGGAGCAGCTATGGTATCATGTTTTGGGGATACACATGCACTCCCTTCTGCAATCAATGCGGATCTACTGTCTGCCAAATGAACAGAAGTGAAAAACATGGACACAGTAACGTCTGTTGACTGCACTTTAATTGAAAGCTATCAAAAATTCAAGCAACACTCTGGCAGGAAATACTTCCTTACCCGACACTGGAAGTCTGAGCCCTCTAATCCAAGACATCCCTTGGTGACTAAATGTCCACCAGACTCATCTTCTTCTATTATAGTGAAGCAGTAGCCATCAGTGCTGAGGATTGGAAAGAATGAATCAGAAAAAGGCACTGAAGTGAAAAATGTGCTGCTCAATATTGTTTTAAACTTTGCTCCCTGCAAGGCAAATCTGCCATTAACAAATCAACATACTAAGGCTGCTGCGGATCAGCTCTTGCACACACAGAGGATGCTGCACCTTGGAGTAAAGGCACTTACCTTTCCAACATTTCACAGCTACAAACCCCACTAACAAACATCTTAATTCTCTGCCTATGGTCATTATTTTGCCAAGACTCTGGAGATGTGTACAGATGCAACCTTCAAGTTACAGAAGATCTGCCTTGTGTGTGAGAACAAGGCACGGATATTTACATCATGAGAAAGACCTAAAGGAAGAAACGTTTTCGAGATACTAAATGTAAAATATTATTAAGAGTGATTTGTGATGCCTGTTTTAACCATATTATGAACTGCAACACTCTTGTGTATGTTCTTGAGTTATCATCAACACCCTTCATAATTGTTTACTTGGGTTATAAGCTTAAAGTGATCCATAATGCTTCCGTTTACAAGAACATGCACCAGGGAGGACAAGTATACTAACAGATGGCTAGATGGTGCTGGTGATAAATGTCCTTCCTTGATGAAGGTCAAATGCCTAAATGCTATAGAAAGAGGGGGAGGAGAGCACGGAAAGGGTGACTGCATTTTATTGAAACCACTGTACATTTATTTCTCAGCACTCTGAGGGAGATATGCAATGTGTAAGAAACAAAAATTGACTGATTTGCAGGAAGAAGATCTAAAAATAAAGAAAAAACTCTTTAATACAAGACATTTAAGTCACATAAAAAGAAAATATTCTGTTATTTCCCCAGGAAAACAACACTGGTTATTATGTGCAATGAGTATTTTTCAGAAGAGAAACTCAGTTAAACCAAGGAAATACAAAGAAAAAGGGATTAGAAAACTTAAACACAGCAAAATTTCAGATGATTTGCTCCTTACTTAAGAGTCTAACAGAGCAACAAGAGCAAAGGCAATGAAGAGGCACAGTTACACATTTAAGAGATAAATACAATTTGTAAGTATTAGCTACATGACAGAGATGCTGCATAGGATCATGTCAAACATTGGCTGTGCCATATTTTTATATTAGTGGTGCAGGGTCTAGCCACAGTAAGCTTATTACTTCAAATAATAATCTATCATGGGTTATTGACTTCTGGATTTGAAAAGTACCCCATTGCACATTACAAATTACTTTCTCGGAGAAGCGAGTGATGACTTCTACCCTTCTTTGACATTGTGCATACAAGGAAGGCAAAGGAGACAGTAACCCTTCTGGGCAACTACCACCTTGATTTCGTTGCTTAAGCTTAAAATACAGGAACAATAGGATTGCCAAGAGAGACTGTAAGGGATCCATTAGAGTAGAATATTATATTGGATTAGATTTTATTTGTTTGCATGGTGCCTTTGATTCAAAGTAATGAGTAAGTTTAACCCAGGGGACAGAGCAACAAAACAATACATTGCAATCAAGTGAAACATTGCAGTCAAGTGAAACACAAAAATGAACTCGACTGCTAACAGTTCCCAGCAAAAAAAAACCCCTAACTCTCCGTTCATCAAATAAAAGCAAGGCAAGAAAAAGTCAAATTGTTTGCAAAAGGGAAAAAGAGAAACAGAAAAGTCAGCAGTTTTAATTCTATTTTTCTGACTTGTCATGGGACTGATTCTTAGCTCATTTCTGAAAATTAAATTCGGGCTCCTCAAGTACTTCAGTTCCTCTGAATATTTTACTCCAAATTGAAAAAGGAAAACAAAATTAGATTGGATAGAGCAAAACAAAAAAGTTATAGATGTCCAAGAATAAGGATAAATCATGCTCTTTACAGACAATCTTAAAATAATGAAGGAAAAGTGAGAGAAAGAAACAGCAATGCTGAGCAGAATAAACACTGGTACTGCTTGTTTCTATCTCTAAGGAAAAAAACCCACAAAAGTTTTCATGCAATGTAAGAATTCATTGTTTTTGAAAATTTCTGAGGTGTTTGGGTGAGAGGGAGAAGTGACTCTTCTGAAAAGAAAGAAGTATCTCCTAACTGCTTCCCCACTCCTGCCCCTGATCTGTTCTCCTGGTTCACAGGACGTAGCCCTGCTTTACATACCCTGATTACCCTATCTCATACCTGCCTATGGTAGAAATGAAACTGTTCTTACTAATATAACAAGTCAGAAACAAGTCAGCTGACTCTGCATCATCTCAAATTTTATGTTTATTTTGGTGACTGCACAAGTAGAAACATCTGTACATCACCTGTACATATATATACGAATTATATATATGTATATATACATGTATATATGTGTATATATATACACACATATATATACAAAGCAGTACAAAAATCCTATTCTCCCCTTCCTAGCAAAAATTTGTAGTAGAGAACTATTATTTTCTTAAACTCTGCAATTTGAATTCTGTGTAATTTGATTCTGCAAATGGTGTGTAAAGACGGAACTCAGTGTGATGTTGCTGAATACATCTGGATACACATCCACTAACCTCCTCCACTAAAGCATCACCTTATTAGAGTATGGTGCAGGAGAGTGATTAAATACATTTTGGATGTGATCACTAATAAGCACAGATTTGCTATGTCACATATTTGCCAAGAGTGAATTTTTACAGCCAAGTCAAATGCCAGGAAAATAGAGGGAGTTAATAGCGGAAACACTGACAGACACTGATATAGAAGGTGCTGCTACAATTACAGATTACCACAAAGAAAGCAATGATCTTAACTCAGACCTTTACTAAATGTCAGAAGACAGGAACTGAGGCCAACAGCTTTGCATCTGCTCACACAGATGTCCTCACTGGCCAGCAGCCATTTCTCACAGAAGATGTGATTCCTCAGCTACCAAAACTTGACTGCTGAAGATTTCCCATCCGGCTCTATGTGTGTGTGACACAGCTAGGAATGGCAATATGTAACTGTGAAAAGCAACACCTTTCCCTCATTCAGTGCCCATCACAGACAGACAGGTTAAGTAACTTGATGAAAAGATCCCTTATCTTTAATTTTATTTGCAAAAGAGTCCATATGAGTATTATTACTTTTGTCCACTGCTCTTTATATTCCTCATTTTGATATCAGAAAGAGCAACAGCATCTTTTAATTTCCATCCAAAGCAACATCACAAGTTCTGCACTGATTTTAAAATGATAAAAAAAATGTTAGATTGTATTATGTACAGAAACTGAGAATTCGTATTCTTCTGTAAAAACTGGCTGAAATAATACAATTTGAAGATTGGCTGACTCCCAAATTGCATCTAATTCACATATTTTGTCCTTCACTTAAGGAAAATGATGAAGGCCAAATTTAGCAAAATGCTGTCTTTGGACACCATCCATAAAATAAAGAGTCATTGTAAATGTGTTCAATACAGGGTCATTTTTCAGAAAAATATAGTTAGCAGCTGTACATCAGGGAAGTAACATGAAATAAAGTGAGAAGAGCATTACACAGTTGTTGAGCCAGATGCATCTTCAGATGTTTGCACAACTACTCTGAAGGCAAAGAGAGACTTACAGGTGCAATAGAGCAAAGAAGGTGGCTCACAGCGGGCCACAGTTTCTGGCCACACTAGTCTCCAGGATGGTGATGCTGTTCCTACCATGCATGCTCTGCTGTGTATGGTACCTTCTGGCTCTCTGGGTGCTCAATGATGACCTGACACACAGCGAGAAACGAGGGTACCCAACACATCCTAGAGGAGCTAGGACATTACATATTACATTTTCATATTGTTATTTATAGGCCCATCAATCAATATTTTCTCTATACTACCTGCCCATAGCATTCTCGAAGGAGTGAGACATCACTAAATGTATCTTGCATTATTTTACTAAATCACAAAGACTATCAAACAGTTATTCCTGACATGCAGGGTCACACCACAGAAAACAAGCCATTATGCCACTCTGTGAGGGAGATCCCTAGAAACCACCCAGGCTTGATGCAGAGTATATGAGATTTGACAGATCTATAGACCTGATGGTACAACGTGGGGTATGGTAACAGCACCAAGCATGGGTACTTCTGCATTTTCACCAGGGCTCTCTAGTACCTTTCACTTATGTGCAAAATCTATCTCAGTAGATATAAGAACTATCAAGAAGAAAATAGGCAAAATAAAGATACTCATCTTCCTCTTTTCCTTTTTCCTTTCTCTTTTATTCCTTTCCTTTGTCTCCAAAATTTAAACACAAACCATATGTTTTCTTTTACTTGACCTTAAGATTACACTGCAGTTGAACTTGCACGACATTGTTCTCTTTAATGCTAGGACAGACTTAACATAGGTATTTGCTGTTATGGATTTTTTTGTTGTTGTTGTTTTTGCATAACTAAATTTAATATGCAAGGGAAGTTTTAGGTATTCCAGCAGTTTCTGCACAGTAACACCACACAATAAAGTACTCCCACACAATAAAAAACTATCTGAGAGTAACGCAACAGGTCTCAGCACAGAAAGGCTGGACTTCCATTACTATCTAGCTTAAGGTTTATATTAAATACCTAATGTGCAAGCAACACATGAGCAAAACTAAAATCAAGGAACTTCTGGGGCACACTTGAAAAGTCTGGGACGGGGACTTTGAGTTACATCCCAAAACATTTGGGGTGAAATCACCTGCTGAGCCACCAATGAGACATATGGCCCTGGCACAGGGCACAAAAAAAGACTGGGGTTTGCACAAATTTGTCTCTGTTGACCTTTAGTTTTTCGTTTTAATCACCAAAGGCAACTTAAATAACTCTGGTACAGCCCTGTATATAGGACTAAATTAAAAATAAACATAAACATTAAAAAAATTGAAAGGCTAACATATAAGACCTTACCATAGCTCCTATATCAGAAAATGTTCAAGTTTTCCCTAAAAATTAAAGTTGCTTAAAAGAAAAGTTGCCTGAACTCAGTGCTTTGGTCACTGTCAAAGTCTTCTTTGTTTCACATACCAAATTACAAAGAAAATTCAACCATATCATCTGAAGGAAAAGGAGAACGAAAATAACATCGCTCAAGTGAATTATCACCTCTAGTAACTCTGAAAAAGCAACCTAATTATTTTATTGCTTTAGATAACCAAAACTACCTCAAGACACCATTGGGTAGAAATACAATCCAGCAGGCAACACATAAGAACTTTATCAGCCCAATCTTTAAAACTGTCTGCATTTATTTGTGCATGAAAATAGAGTGTGACAAGGCACCTAATCAGTCTCTGCTTTTACTGCAATCCCATTACAGTCAAAGCCAATTAAATGTAACACTACATTTTAAAATATGCAATTAATTATGATCAGACGCAACTGTCCATGCATTCACTTTGTATATACAAAACTTGAAATGGAACAGTAAAACAAGGTCCTGGTTGTGTTCAAAGCAGCTTTGACCTTCTTTACCAAGTCTCTTATGTATCGCACAGATGTTCAGAAAGAAGAATAAAGTTTCAACATGCTGCAGTTTAACACACCCTTTACAAGCAGAGGATTGTGAGCCTTCTCAAAAAATCTTAATTGTCAGGGCCCTGAGTACACTAATCATCTTCAGTTGCCAAGAGTGGCCCCACCTGAGACCCCTTTTTCCCCTACACAGATTCCCTGCCCAGGGGCTCCATGTAAGCTGAGGTCTGAGCAGTGGTACAGGAGTGCCTGTCTCCAGATCACTGCCAGCCATGTGAAGGGCCACTGAGGGAGCTGTCTCTGCCTGTTGTATTCAGATACCCTTGGTGAAATGGGGTCCTGGTGAGTGAGGATTTGGCCAGCCCTAGTATCAGCCTCAGCTCCTGGCTTGGCCCCCCTTTTGCTACACCCTGACATGAATCCTCCCTTGATGAGCTGACCCTTTAGTAGGTCTTCCAAAACTTGTTGTGCTCACATAATGCACACTCTAACTAGATCTACTTCTTTTCTGTTAAGATAGAAAACAATCTGCCTTTTAAGCTGCAGTGTTACCCTTAGCTCCCTAAAGTAATACTGGACTTCAGCTGCAGAAGTATAAAGGAAGGGAAATTCTGTATAGGAACACAGCAGGTTGCTAGAGGATTTGATATAGAAATGGTTAAAAATTGGCTTTTAAATTTCTAAAGTACAGTTACGGAGAGGATTTTAAATGGCCACCAGATGTCCTCATTTTTATATAAACATTCAGACTACTATGGACAGGATCTATACTTTAACAGATGAATACCTGTGGTAGCAGATAAAAATCTTCACTTGAGATGACAGACTGCCTTTTATGAGAAATTTCAAATGGTGAATGGTGATTGCAGTAGCACTAGCTATTCTACTCCGAGTTTTAATTTAAACACGGCTGGAAATGTTTTTCCATTGAACTTTCAGAGGTCCTTGCTCCTGGGCTCACAAAAGGCTTCACTGCTTTGGTAAGAACCCTGGTAGGGGCAGTGGCTCTCCAGAGCACAAGCCTTGCCTATGGATGTACTCAGTGAATTTCCCTGGCTTTGCCACGCCCTTGGGTGCCCCAGCACACAGTGGCTCATCCCTGTCAGGCTCGCAGGTCCAAGCACAGCCCAAAGCTTAAGATAGAGCTGATAAGAGGTTTGATTTTTATTTTTTTTTAAATATCAAATGCAAAAGGCTTTTATTGGCTAAATCTGAGGCAAGTAGATAATTAATTCATTAACTTTTAATCCGAAGCAGTCAATTTATTCTTCAGGCAAACACTGCAATCAATACTGCCTGAACTTCAAAACTGGGCAACTTCCTTTATAGTGAGGTTCAATGATGATTCCCGAGTGCTTTAAAACTGTGCCAACAGTCATTCAGGCTAGGATGAAATATGAAAGTTACTGCCTGATTAGTAGGATGATCCCAAAACACAGGGAAAGTGAATAATTGCTGCTAACCTGGTTGGTTGTGCTCAAATCTTTTGAAACCTGGTCTCAATCCAGCCAGCTAACCAGACACCTAATAACTATTCTTTCCCAACAGTAGACTTAGGACCTTCTTCTCTCTATAACATCACATTTCACTTTTGATCCATAATTCCAGCTATGCAGAAAGGAGTTTAAGAAAGAAACAATTACAGACTAACAGTTAAGAAGATGTAGGGAAAACAAGGGGTATTGGGTCCTTCATACCTCACTGCAGCTCTCACACCAAGGCAGTGGGATCAATAGCAACGATCACCATCATGAACAGGATTACTGCTGACAAGCCATGAAGGAAGGGTATATAAATTGATTTCATTGTTTTGTTTTATATTATTCCAAACTCCCTCCTCAGCAATTTTTCACCTATGCTGTTGCTCACTGGGCAAGTGGCAAGGTGCGTACTGCTCAGGTGATGCACAGGACAGGAATGAGGAGCTGACCTAATGCAAATCTCCTGCCTGTTCCCATATTCCTGGACAGAAAACTGACTAATATTTGATGGGTAAATTCCAGTTTTGTTTAAATTGGAAAAAATAATTTTTTCACTAAAGTAGAACATCAAAACCTGAAATCTTCAAAGATTATGAGACAAAAGGGGTTACAATTTTTTGTTTTATTACCACTTAACTGCCTATCCATGGGTATTACCTAGAAAAAAAAAGTTTGACATTTGACACCATAAGGGAGACTCTGAAGAGAATTTCTTTAAAGCATTGCAGTTAAGGAAACACGCACAGATCCATTTTAATAGAACATTATTCATAGTTCCTGGTACCATGAAAAATAATTAATGTCAATGACGCCTACAAAGCAACGTGCAACAGCAGGCCTACCCAGCTGGGGTACGAACCTTGTTCAATTGGCTCTTTAACATTGATCCCTTTGTGCTTCCCAATTCATGGATTCAAAAGTCATCTGCAACTTCCCTGTTCCTGTGTGTGTGAGACAGCACATATGAAAGCTGTTGCTCTTGCTGGGCAGGAACAGGAAACAGCTGATTCACGCTGCAGGGGATCTGCAAATTGATATCAGAGTGGGCTTTTACAGCTTTTTAAACTGACTGTCATGTGAGAGCAGTTAAGTCTAACTCCTGGCTAGAGCATGGGTTTGTAGGAAGACGATAGAAAGGGGAAATGGTATTTACAGCTGTCACCAAAACTTTGGCTATGGCTGATAGGGTGTATCTCCAAAATCATACTTGCTCTAAATATTCAGAAAAGTTTAAATTCCTCATATGAAACATAAAGAGCTCAGCCCAACTTTGCTGCAGCTAAAGCAAACTGTAACCTGCATCTTAAGCCAAGACAGAGGTTTTTGACCAGTACCTTCATTCAACAGCAATTTTATGTGTCCGGCAAGAGCTGTTTTTGAGTAGGGGAACAGCAGCTTGGTTCCACCACAGGTACCCTCAGAGACCTCTGCTTGCTTCAGCCACTGTCAGTGCAACAAAACAGTTGACACCGCAACAAGACCAATTCTGAACCTTCACGGAGCCTGTCCACATCTGTATGTGCCTCTCCTCCAGGGAGGGAAAAGGACCCTTTTGCAGAGGAAGCAGAACCCAACCCAAATGAGAAATTTGAAGTATTCCAAGCCCAAAACAAAACAGAAGGCTATAGCTAGTATAAGAAAATACACAATGCTTCACATCAAGGTAAAGACTGTTTTCTTTTTAGTATGGAAACAAGAAAAAAAAACCCCAAAGCCTTGTGGACCTACAGAAAATAGCTCAGCTATTGCAAAGATGTGCGCAAAGACCAGAGTTCTTATAAATGGTGTTCTATTAAGAGTGATTAGAAATTTATAAGCATTTACTGACATTTCCATACATATCCATCAAGTCTTCTCTCATTAACTACATGTGCCTTTAAAAACAAAGTTCTGCCTTGAGAATATTTCATATGCAATGTATTAATACAAGTATTATCTAAAATGATAAATATCTATAGGCCCTAACATAAAAATATAAATACGCAGCTGATATCTAGGTAAAAATTATCTCTGATTTTTAGACACAATGTATAACAACTTATTTACACGTTACCGCCTAAACAAAAACTGCGACACCCAACTCGGGATTGCCGAGCTACTGCAAATAGGTTTTCCCACGTTTCATCACCAAATACATATCCCACAAACCTGCAGGTGCTGTTGACTGAGTCCTCGGGGCAGTGGTGGTGGCACTGACAGGACAGCTTCTTCTGGGGAGGGGCAGGTGCCGTACTCTCACCGTCTTTTCTGGTCTCCATGCTCAGCTTGCCAGAACTTCGCAAGGGCATGTTGTCTAGAAAATTAGCTCTAAATATAAGAGGGGGAGAAAAAGAAACAGTTCTAGGCTGCGTTGCAAGACTTGAAATGAAGGTTTTAATGTGTTTCTATCCATCAAAATTTGAGACAGTTATTTGAGACAACAAATAACTACAGAGTGGTTTTCTGTAGGCACCTCTGGAATGGTCACCATGTTTGAGGCTTATGGGACCTTGGTGGTATTAGATCAAAGGTGCTGATGTTCAAGTTTTGCTGCTGCCAAGATATATATTGTGCTTTTATTATTATATATTGCACAGCACAGCTTTTCTTCTATTGCATTACACAGGTCAAATCCTTGGTTACACCTTTGAGCTTTCTTTATCTCTACAGCACTTGGCACAATTCTACATCCACTGAACCCCATAAAAATCAGTGGGATTTATGGTACTCCAGGCAGGACAGAACACGGGCATACAAATTAACAAATATTTAACAGAAAGTGATGTTCTTCCCAGTTCAACAATACTTTCTGTGACTGAATTGCGTAAGCACTACTTGGAAAACAAGGAAAAGGGTTAATTTCCGTAAAAAAAGTCTATAAACAAAGTAAAAGACAAGAATGTGTTTTAGAATGAACAATGCTGAAATATATGGAGGTGATTATTTATAAAATATCAGAGTACTGAATCTCTATGGAGCTGGTGGAGTACAGCTGGAGATGATGGTGATAGGCTAGGAGCTGTTTAAGCAACCTTCCCCAGCCTTCAGCTCTACTCATAAATATCAGCTTTCAGTCCTTGTGAATGTTTTAAACCTCAAAGACAAAAATGAGATTAGCATGAAAAGCTTCAACTGGCAGTTCCTCACTTTCCTTTTGGTTCCCTGTAAGAAATCTTACTAAAGGGTCATTTAAAAACAGCTGTCTCCAACAGAGTAGTTGTAGAGCAGGCTTGAAATTCTTGGTTTACTGTTAAGTCTTTAGAAACAATTGGCGTTATAATTATTTTGATTGGCTCCTGAACTGCTGCTTTGACTCCAAAATCTTCCCTAAATCTCCATCATCAGGACTGATATACTGTGGAGCTGACAGAAAATTCTATCCTATTTAGCTCCCCACAGAGGGATGGAGTGGGCAAACAGGCAGAGGTAATGGGAACAAGCAGCTACACTTCAGAGTTTGGATGGCAAGAATAGGCTGAAAGATTCTGAAACAGTGAAAGGCTGGAGGAAGCTCAGGGCTATTCAACCAGTCCATGCCTTTAGGAAGACTAACAAAGTCCAGCCTGTGCTCCTGGGTGCGTGGGACCAGCCAGTGCCTCGAGCACAAGCGTGCACATCATGCCTCCCAGCTGCATACCTGCATACCTCTCCTCTCCTGTGCCAGCTCTGACAGGAAGTCCTGCAAATGGACAGGCACTGGGAACAACTGGCAGACAGGCTTTAATTTTCTTCAGTGTAACAGGAGACATGCAAGCTTATCCCTGGCCAACTCGGAAAAAGAGCTGAAACTTGTTAGCTCTGGGGAAAGTGGGGCTTTGCACATGAGAACATTGCATTTAGAGAAGCGTTAGCTTTTTTGAACATCATAGCCCTTCCACTCCTTGCATACTTCCTGCACAAGAGGTACATTAATAATATTAAGGGGATACACTTGAAAGAGAATCATTCACCATACCAGACTAATACACCTATGAAATACAAAACTCATGCAGCTTGGCCTTTGCTCAGTACCTATGCGTCCCACAGAAACTAACTGGAGTTTTGATTAGCTCACCTTTTTTTAAAGTCAAACCAGAAAATTAGTTACAAAGCATACACAAACTGTGGGCTTGTAACCCTTGTGCCCAACATTAAGATCTAAACTGGATTCATGACACAGCTGGATGTCAAAGTCCCACTTGGCAAAATTAGAACTAAATGCATTAGTTCACTCAAGATGCATTGTGTATCTATATTGTTGTGTACTTGTAGCTGTACCATAAGATGCAGTAGATGCATAAATTAAGAAGAAAAATGCACTGGTTTTTGTTTTTTATAATATCATGATGATACCTTCAAATGAAGCCTGAGTATAACAAATCAACAGATGTTTGCTCCCTGGATCACAAGATTAGGGATTATGTAAATTCTCTTTCAGTCGGCAATTTTTATCTGTATTGCTCTGAATGGGGAATCTTCAACTATTAATATTCCTGTCAAGGATTTTCAGACTTCAAGCTCATGAGGCAACAAAGTGAACTTCAAGCTCATGAGGCAATTGAGTGAAATAGTTTGCTTTGTGCATCATTTCCATGGCTCTTTCTACAAGCTATCTGCAGTTTCAGCAGGGATCTTTCCCCAGCAAGGAGTACAAAGACGAAAGCATTTTACACCTAGCAAAGAAAAAGGGAAAGGTTTAATTACACATTAGATCGTGCCTGAAGATGTTAAATTTAGACAGCTAAATACCTTCTCCACAATATATACAATTGTAGATCATTCCTTTTTTCAACAAATGAATAAGGCAGCCATACTCCAGTGCAATCTACACCCATCCCTCATCAGGGATGTGATCATGAATAGCTCCTGCAAAACTTGCCATAAACAACAATAGCTTACACTCCTAGACCTGGTTGTACTCTTGGATATAATAAAACAAGTGGAAGTTGCTGAATTAGAATCAAATATCTGAAATACCATCAAAGAATCACAGCTGGCTACTTAGAGGCATAGTTTGTTTTTCAGAAAATGCAGGACAAGTAGGCTGGCATTCAAATTTACACTTTCCAAGAGTGGGAAGTAGGAATGTAGCCTAGCATTTTGCTTTCAGCTAATGGCCAGGGTCAAAACTAGTGCGAAGTCATTGCAGTTCACTGTCAAATACATTAAATTGAATAAAAATAAAAGAGTTATGAATAAGACCCTTTCAATCAAGCTATTTTCTGTCTTCTACAATGAAAACATCTTCTCACTCTATTCTCTTGCTCCTTTCATGCCTTAATTTCCTGACTGCTAGCTAAAAGGATGGGCAGATCTTTTGCCACTGAAATTCAGATGTCTCTCCAGCAGATAACCGTAGAACGTGTAAGAACTCTCCTCCCAGTCAGAGTTGAGTTTCAACAAGGTCTTTTGACCTCTATGTCTGCTTGACTTTAGAGCAGAAAGATTTTCAAGCAGTCCCTTCCCCAAAGTGTAACATGTAGGAAGAAACCCACACGAGCTTTCCAGCTTGGCAAGAGGTTGCCCCCGATTTCAGGCATGAAATGCACAGTTTGGGATGGTGAGCAGCTTGCTCATCTTGCATTTGCTTCTGTGCTGTAACAAGCACATCTTGGTCAGGCAGCCTTGGCTCCGTCTAGGGATTAGAAGCCTTTTGGGTTTTGAAAGCTCTCATAAGGAGATATATCCAAGAACCCTGAAAGCAAAGGATTTCAGGCTATTTAAGTTTGGCTGCTTCTTTGCTGTAGCCTATTCTGTTGCAGTCTGCTTATGGTCAGCTTCCCATTGAACTGAGCACAGCTTGGGAGAACTGCAGAAAAACAGTAGTATCAAAAATAAGGTTATTGTAGTCTGCTGAGAAACTTACTAACTGCACCAGGGAATTAATCAAAACAGTTGAAAGCTTGAAGGTCACCATCAGAATGGTATACCTTCATCAGATTTAGTTGGTTTTCTCAGCTTATCTCTCTTTTTCCACTAAAATTCACCGACATGTACAAAGCACCTTCCATGACAAGGACTGGCAGTCAGCCACCATGGCTTTTACTTTCCTCTATAGGACTGGGACCACTGAAAACTGTGATGTGATGGCCTCTGTTATCACTCTGTACCCGAGAACTGGGACTGTGTGCAGCACGCTACTATTGTGTTTTTTCCAAATGTGTGTCTCTCTCTCCATGCTTTGAGCTCCTTTATGGAAAGGTACATCTACAAAGATCCTGAATCTAGGAAAAGGAAAACAAGGAAAATAAAGTGCTGTAAGATGAAAGTCATTCTCATAGTCATTCAGGATAATGCTAATGTCTAGTTTAAAGCCCTATTAACCTCCATTGTCAACAAATCATCCTATTTGTATATATTCTTCCACTTTACTTCCCATCCCTCCTACACTTCATGGTAATCTGTGAGCACTAAGATTTGCATCCAAATACTAACTCTGTCATGTGGCAAACTCTTCCATGGCATTTCAATTATTTTTGCTATCATTTTCTTAAAATGACTGAGACATGATTACAGATCTCCACAATCACAATGAAGTAACTACCAGGATGAATTATAACATGGTTTTAAATAATGTTGTTGTTTATTGGTTTGACAGGTTTGTAGACAGTGGTACCTTGCACACAAAAGGAAAATCACCTATTTAAGCTTTGCATCAATTCAAGTAGGTGCAAAAAAAAAAAAAATCTGGTCTAGAGAGCCCATCTCTTGTGTACATTCAGTCCTCAAGATCTCTGCCACGGCTGCCAACGAGTACTTCAGCCCCTGCCAACCATAGCCATAGTTATGTGATTTGGACAGAAATTTCCCCACTAGAACCTGGAAAAAGCCCAGTAACTCATTTCACACTGGCTCACAGCCATCAGATGGTAATGACTTTTGGGCACTGCTCTGATTCAACAAGTCTGGTAATGTAGGAGGTGAAAAGCTCTTTATTCTGCTCCTCTGCATTCTGTAGTTTAAATCTTAAGCCATCCTGTTCCTGGAGGATGAAGAATTAGCAATAGTTATCTCAACAGACTGACTTCTGTGCCACAGCTGTGTGATTTATGTGCTGTCTATGCAGTGAGAAAGCAGATCTCCCATGACCTTGCATGGGTTTGTCAGGAGTAAAAGTCAGACTTGCTCCTTCCCAAAACAGATGCTAAGGGCCACCAACAAGCATTTTCAGGGAAAAAAAAGTGTCAGAGTCTGTGCTTACATCTTTCAACTTAGGGTATTTGAAGCCTCAGATTGATTCAATATCATTCATTCATATTTTCCCAGTCTAACAACAACATCTGGCTAGCAACAGCACCCACTGACTGAGAATGATGCTTACTGCTTCAGAGAAGGTACACACCTAGGAA